CTTTATGTATATTTATTTATTTATTGTGCAGGTTATCCGACAAAATATTGTTTGACATGATGAGGTAGAAGACACAATCATTCTATTTTACGCCATAGTCACACGGCATTCTAAGCATGCTAGACAAGTTCAAAATTCGTAGGTAACTCTTGCACCGGGGTGACACCTGAATGTTTACAAAATCTGAACTAAACAAACTAAAAAAAGACTAAATTGAAAGAAGCTTTCTTAAGACAAAAAAAAAAGAAAAAAAAATACAAATTAAGAACAAAATAAATACTTGACTAGTACTCAAGACTGAAAGAACCAACGTATAACTTGAATTTAGCTTATAAGAGATTTCATAGCTCACCCATGAATATAGACAACTTTTTTACTACACACAAAGCTCCCATGAACATTTAGAGCTCTCAATAGCCTTTACACAATGAACTGAACTTGAATTGTGAAAATAAACTATAGCAGACCCATCTTAAACAAAATTATAATGCTTTGAAATAAAATTGGCAACCAAATCCCTGAAATCAAAAGGCAAGAGGACATAATGCAAATTTTAACCCTCAAAATTATAAGTTATGTGCAGTCAATAATGTATTATTCATGAAAATAGGGCTGTAAACGAGCCGAGCTTGAGCGAGCTCAGGCTTGGCTCGTGTTCGGCTCGTTCGAAATAGCTCGTGTTCGAAATCGGCTCGTGTTCGAAATCGGCTCGTGAACAGTGTGTTTGTGTTCGGCTCGATTTAAATATTCGTGTTCGTGTTCGGCTCGTGTTCGGCTCGAAATTGGCTCGTTAAACTAAAATTGAGAAAAATAGATGTAATGTGTGGGATTCGAACCTGGATCAAATCTATACAAAAGAAGACACTAACCACATTGCTACATGAGGCGTTATGATTTAAATTTAGACATAAATATATATAATATATTATTATATAAATAATATATGTAATATATTGTTATATAAAAAATTATATATATATATTTTTTTATCGAGCCATTTCGAGTTCGTGTTCGGCTCGTTTACATTTCGAGCTTAAAAATTTGTTCGTGTTCGGCTCGTTAGGCTTAACGAACGAGCCGAACACGAGCTGCTTAACGAGCCGAACACGAGCTGTTCACGAACAACGAGCCAAATTGATAGCCCTACATGAAAATACTTAAACTTCTCGAATGCCGAAGTCTAGAAACAAAATATTGTGTGCCCTAAAAATAAAATCATTTCGAATTTGCCTCCCTTTGAGAATCATGCTATCATTTTAAAATTTGAGCAATCATTTTGAATTTCGCGAGACTTTCTTTCAAATTCGAACATATTATTATATCATTGTGCGGCACTCTCGAGCGACTCGCCCTACAAGTCACCCTTTGTTTGTATCATCAAGACCTGAGTTTAAAAGATTTCCGTCCATAAATGAAATATTACAATGCCAATTAAAAAGAGAATTTTTATATTTTATTTTTTGTCTTGAGCGAAAAATTTTGCAATCCAAACACAGAATCAGAAATTTGACTACGTTGCTCTGTTTTACATTTACTTCAGGATTTTAATAAGAAAAAATCATTTTAAAAGTGCAAGCTCTCCAGCTTTCTTAGAGGCATAATCGCAAGTTCGAATCTACAGACCTAATCCTCTACATATAAGGGTGTAATAGTTAAGGTCATTAATAGAGTGAATGTATAATGCAAATCATAAACTCACCAACTACAAGCAAAAAAGCTGACAAAATTTAAGTGCCATAATTCAAACATTCAAAAAACACATATGACGGATTTAATCATCATACATCATAATCAAAGGACTACATTAAAAAATTATGCTCTAAAGTACAAAGGAAAATATTAAAATACCATATCTCAATAACAACCACACAGACAGAACATCTCAGCTAGAGAAATCCTCAAATATCAAATTACTCTCAAATATCAAAGCAAACCAACTCACTCTCAAATCTCATTACAAATATAAGAAGTTAAAAAATTACAAATCTACAAATATTCGAGCAATTGAGTCAAAGGGTCGAAATTAAGTTGCACCAAAAGTCTACTTGGCTCCACTAAGTTATTTTTAGCCTATTAAAAAGGTTGAACAAAGTCATCCAATTCTAAGGTTTAGGTCTAATCAAAATTGGATCTTATCTATCTAAATTAGGGTTCAAAGGATCCTAGCTTGGTTCAATGTTCAATTAGGGTCACTTCATCTATAATTTGATAATTTAAATCATACAAAAGAGCTATGGTTTTACAAAATAAGAATGAATCAATTAGTTTAATATCACTATATGAATCCAAAGTCTAGGGCATATTAAAGGAAACCAGCCTGCCACTGGTGGCCCAATTTTGTGGTAATTTCAGCGTCATTACTGGCAGTCTAGCTTTCGATTTTCTTTTAGCACTCAAGCCATCGGCATAGGGCATTGAAATTTACTTTGAAAATATTATTACGGCCTAGCCTTCGACCGTTGGATAAAAGTTAAAAGGATATCAAATGGCCAGGCCAATGGATATACCACGGCAAATACCCTAATATCACCCATCCTGACCCAAACCCATGTGTGTCCTCTTCTTCTCCTCTCTAGGTTTCACTCTCAACCAACAGCGACCCTGGTAGTTCCACTTCCTCCATTTCCCTTCATGTCAAATATCCACCCCTATTTGGCCTTGTTTAGCAGTTCTAAAACAAAAAACTGAGAAGAGAAATTACCAGAAATTGCAATTCTTTGCCTTTTTTTCTCTACTCTTAGGAAAATTCAATTCAAATTCAAGTGACACGTAAGAGGAGGCGTGAAACTATGGAATTATAAATGAATAACAAAGCACTCAATGGCAATGAAAATTATGCAAAGAAGCTGCAGAGAGAAAAAAATCCTATCAAAAACATAAATTGGGTTGGTCAACTCCTCTTCAATAATATAATAGCTTCTATGGTTCAGGTTATTTAGGTGGAATTGGGGATGCTCTTCGCAAATTTAGAAATCAATTACATTTAAATTATATATAATATGAGTTATAATTGAACTTGATATCAAACAATTAATAAATTATTTTTTGAACAACAAATAACTTTGTTTGTGAACATAAATATATAAGTTAATGTGTGTTTAACTTTTGTTCGTTTAACCATCCAAGTTTTTAAAAAAATTCAAACTTATACTAATTTGAATGAACTTGATCGAGGATTAATCGAGCAAAATTTGAGTTGCTCGCCAAGTCCATTGGTTCATTTACTGCCCTAATGAAAAATTAAGCAATAATTAAATTTGAGAGATCTTTAGAGTGACATTTATTCATTTAAGGTAGTTAAAAACAAACCTAAGTAATTTGGACGTACAAAACGGGTAGAATGTGCCTACTATAAGAGTAGATAAAATTAGTATCAAATGATTAGAAAATTGGTGGGGAAGACGAGGTGTAAAAGTTGTCCAAAACAATTTATGAAAAATATGTTGATAACACCTCAAATAGATATAAAAAAAAATGAATAGAAAAATAAGATATATAAAGCAAATACCAAATAGTTGGAATAAGGATAATTTAAAATGAGTATGATGAAGGCTTCATCTAATAGTATATGTTCTATTAAAATATTTTTTATGATAATTAAAGCACTAAAAAAATAGACAGAAAAATAATATAAAATTTAATCTAACTCACACATCACAAATATTTACCCAATCTCATTACATGTGCTTTTATGACCAAGGATACACTAAACAAGCATGTATGATAATCAAGCTGGTTTATAAAAGAAATTTTTTTCTATGACAAGATAAAATAATAGAAAGAAAAATAAAATAGAATTAAATCTAACTCACACATCACAAATATTTACCCAATCTCATTACCTATGCTTTCATGACTAAGGATACGCTACACAAGTATAATGTATGATAATCAAGCTGGTTTAGAAAAGAAATTTTTTCTATGACAAGATAAAATGCCATACATGAACAATCGTAGTACTATGTTACCACCTTCAAGAGTGGGGGTGTAAATGAGTCGAGGCGGCTTGAGCTCGACTCATGAACAAGCTCACGAGCTGAACTTATAGAGCCACGAGCTCGAGCTCGAGCTTGTTCGCTCGAGAGCCAGCTTGATCAGCCTACGCTAGTCATTTCGATGTTTTATGGTGAGTTGAAGTTGCCTCCTCCTCCTCCTCCGACCACGAATATATTCTCCAATGAGATCCCGTAAAATTTGAATTTTGTAGTTTAAGCTCGTGAGTTGGCTGCTACCACTACGAGTCGATCTTGACTCAAGCTCGAGCTCACAAATTAATAAACTAGCCGAGCTCGAGCTTGGCATGGCTCGAACTCTACTCGACTCATTTACACCTCTATTCTAGAGTCAAGAGAAGAAATGGAAAAATTAAACCATCACCTAAATTTAGCAAGAATATTCTATAGCCAAACTAGCATTCGAAAAGTTTGATAAAGAAACTCAAAATTCTATAGCTAAAAAAAAAGATACCAGAAAGATAAAGATTAATTATTGATAGCAAAGCTAAACAAAAATTCGTGCCCATTGGAAATTCAAATCTCTTTTCTTTATTTGTTGTTATTTGAAATTCAACTATAATGGCGCAATTCAATATATCAAGGTTTCATTCCTATTTATGGTGGTCTCTTCCTGATATCCTTAATGTTATAAAAATATTGCAAGAAGGAATATTTACAGGACAACCATTGTCACCTATACAAAACCCTAATAGTAGAGATCAATTATAAATTAAACTAAAGGAATGATGACCAAAGTGATGGCAGTCTTAAACAATAGCAAGCACACTCAATTAAGAATATATCCCTGTATTAAAAGTACAAATAAGAAGTCAAAGGGAAACTCTAACATAAAACGAAATGAAAATAGCAATAAGCAAACTATATATGCCTGAAGGCAGACTCTTAGAACTTGATTACTATTACTCAAAAGGTCGAACAAGTTCAGTTAGCAATCAAGTAAAGCAGGCTGCACTATTTCAATTAAATTTTGCAGTATCATTTTACCTCATTGGTGATGCTAAACTGCCATTTGAGTTGCTGAAGTTGCAATTTCTCCCTCTGCCATTGTTGTCCTAGTATTGCAACACCCATAAAGGCAGCAGCAATGAAAATGGACCAAAATGGGTTGGTTTCTTTTGCTTTCTTGTACAATGACATCGCATTTCTTTTCCACCATGATTCAATAGGAAGGCAGGATCCGCCACTTCCATGAATTGTTTTCCCAAGCTTGGCAAAATCTGGAGGCATACCATGGTTTTTATTAGAAGAATCAAATATATCAGAAATATCATACACATCATCAGTAGAAATCCTCTGTCTACTATCTGTTTCGGCATTGAAACAATTATGTGGTTGGCCTTCTTGAGACTCCATACTGTTAACAGAGAGCTCAGCTTCTGAAAAATCTTCATTAAATTTAACAGGGTAATTGTTTTCTACCGCAGCAGGAAGTATCACATATCTTGCAGTTTGATCAAAAATTTCACCATACTCCGCTTCTATAGGAAGATTTTCATGCTCATGAGGAGGGAATATAAAGTGCTGAGACATGAACATTGTATTTGATGACTCGCGTTCTTGTTGGAATTCTTTATCTCTAGAATCATCTGCTGGATCAGCATCAGCTCCAGGAGCAGCAGCATAAGTAGAGGCAGTTAAGGCAACAACCTCCCAGTCAGCTCCACGAGAAGAGGTACCATCCTTTTGCTCTTCATCAGCCATTTTGCCGGGTCCAATCTTCAGAAGAACAACAGCATGCATATCAGATAAAGATGTAAAACTCAAGAAATTCAAAACCCAAAGTCCCTATCAAATCTAATCATTTTCTTTATATACCCCAAAAAAAATACAAACATTTCTTTACTAGTAGGCATTTAAGTAAAAAAGGAATAGAATACACTGAACATAGCACAAGCAACAGAAATTTAAATCAAGATGAAAGTAAAATAAACAAACAAGATTAAACACAAATTTTCTCTGTCGAAAGCATAATAAAAAACTGAAGGCAAATCTGAGAAAATATGGCTATCTTGGATAGTTGTTAAAGGGAGGCTTCTTCTTCCTGAACTGAATAAAGCATATGAAGATTAAGCATAGAACAAAAAACAAAACTTTGAATAAAAAATGCACCTTAAATGAAACTGCAGCATTTTGACACAAATTTTCTCTTTCCAAAGCATAGTTAAAATTAAAGGCAAACATTAAAAAAATATAGCAATTTTCTTCCATCTAAGTGAAGATCCAAGAGATATGCAATAGAATTTAAAAATAAATAACTTAATACTTAGAACAAACTAGCAGCATAAACATAATGTTAAGTTGATTGAGGAAATCTCCTAGTATGATCATAAAGTGAACCTCTCCAAAAAGAGTGTTTTCCTCTCTGTGCTTATCTTTTTAAAGATTTAGAAAAGAAAGCATAAGAACATCTGAACCGTAAAAGAAAGATATCATGCACCAGGATATAGTTATTTATCAAACTGAGAGTAACAAACATATCATTCTAAGGAAATTGAAATTTCTCATCAAAAATAGCGGGAAGCTAAAAATGTTATGAATTTGAAGCAAAACAAAAAATAAAAATAAAAATTATTATTTCACTAAATAAAAAGCTGCTCAGGTAATGTTCATTGCATCAGTACATTCACACATAGGGGTTGTTTGGCTACAAGTAGGATTCAGTAAACCTTTTAAATCAATATTTGGTAGAACTTGGATGTGTAAAATCCTATTAATTAATCCAATTTAGCCTAAAATTGACAAAAATATGTGTTTAAGAAGGCAGAAGACTGTTTGGCGTTATTCAACCTGAATCTTAGCTAAATCTTGCAACCACTTCATCAATGAAGATGGCCCCCTCCCCCAATCACCGCCAAAACACACACAAACAAACAAAGAAAAAAAGTTTAAAAAAACTAAAACTAAAAACACATGGTTGGAATAGAGTAAAAGAAACCGAAGGAAATGACACATAATCCAAAACATTCATGGCATGTGATTAAATGTTCAGCCACTGATTGATATTTTGAACATCTTCTCATTCTCTGTAACATCCCCCGCATCCAAACAGGGCCCTTAAAATAACAACAAGATGAAATCGTATCATGAATATGCTTCTCTGCTTTTTCATAAACCGAGCCTAACTACAAAACACGCAAAATATTGAAAAGAAACAGCATCACTGAACTGGTTGAAATCCTAATCTCCAAAAACTAATTACCAAATCAGCGCACGCTGCCCATCCACCCCAATGAATGATCCAGAAACCAAACAAACAACACAATCCCTAATCAACAGACAAAAAAACATGAACAGCATGCAACCAGCCATGTCGGATTAGAAAATCCACTAATCAAAGAGAAACAACCAAGAAAAGACTGAGAAACAATAGGAAGTTTACCTCAGGCCGCGACCATGGGATTCTACTCACAAGAAAACACCAAAAGATCTCTGCTGAAGCAGAGTTAACGCCCGAAAGAAGCTTGTAGAAATCGGATTGAAGACGCTAATCGGATGGGGGCTTTTGATCGCGTATTTTATGGGTGAGTAAACAATTGTTCGCATAGAAATTTTCTGCGGAGCTCGAATCAGCCGCCCATTTGCCTCTTGGGGAAATCCGTCGTGATCAGCAGCTGCTCGAATCAGCTTTTTCAGATCACCCAAATTAATGCTTAAAATCAAACTATTTTCGAATTTATAAAATTAAAAATAAAATGAATTTTTAAGTAGGGCTGTCAAAAAAACTCGTTGTTCACGAACAGTTCGTGTTCGGTTCGTCAATGAGTTCGTGTTCGATTCATTCGATAAGTAAACGAGACAAACACGGACAAATTTTTTTTCGTTCGGTTAGTTAAACGAACCAAACACGAACAGTGATGCATTCATTCGTGTTCGAATTTTTATTGTTTGAAATATAAAATAATATAAAATAATTATATATAAAAAATTTATTATATTTTAAAACATTAAATTTTATAAATTATAATATATAATAAAATAATAATAATAATATATTAATATACTATAGTAATAATATACTAATATAGATATTGTATATTTATATAATATAAGTTATATAATTAATATATAATATTATTTTTATATATTAATATTAGGGATGTCAAACTGGCTCGTCGTTCGCGAACAGCTCGTGTTCGGTTCGTGTTCGGCTCGTTCGTTAAGAAACGAACACGAGCTTATTTCAAACAAACTAAATTTTAAACGAACCGAACACGAACACAAGCTTTGTTCGTTCGTGTTCGGTTCGTTTACACCCCTAACCCTTAGTGTGAGATTGGTAAATTTAGAAGAGTTGAGGGTTATATATGTAAATGCTCTCTATTTTTTTTAATATTATTTTTTTATATTTGTCAAATAATTTATTGATTAAACTTTTAAATTTAATATATTGAGTATATTTTATATTAATATATATTTTTTGATTCACTTGAGCTCAGCTTAAGCTTGTCTTGTTAACTCATCTAGTTCGGCTCACGAGCCACCTATCTCGAGCTGACTCACAAGTTGACATGGCTCACTAACGCCCCTAATTTATATCTTCAATAAAAAAAATATTAATGATTATATTTGTGATAAAATTAGTCTGAATGTCTAAAAAAATAATAATAAAAATCTTAAAACTTTCAATTAATTTTTTTTTTATGATTGCACTAACCTAAAAGTAATATACACGTTTTTCAAAGTTAATATGAGTTGACTTGTTCCACTGGTCTGCTCCAGCACAACTTTTTCACAAATCAATTTAACAGATTAATTGGCCAAATTGAATGTCAATGAAGACCAAAAAGTTCAATCATCACTACTATTCAATTTCAAGATAATCTCGACATCCCTCTTAAACACAAAATTCCTAAACAACCAATTCTAAGGAGAAAAGAAGAATTTACTCACTATGCATGCTTTGAAACAATAAATTTATCATTTTATTCATTAAGAAATAGCAAATGCAAAAGTTTAGAATGATAGAACTAATAGAATACATTGCTCCCACCGATCTTCCTTCATGCTCCACGCGAGTAGACCCACATTTATGTAAATTACAAGCACCTCACTTCTCTCACAAATTCTCACCAATCTCCCTCCACACCTAAACAAGACGAAGAACACTATAATTGATAGTCTATACAGTGGATTCCATATAATTGATTCAATTTGATAATAATTGACTATAAGCTTGTCGTAATTGGAATCAATCTGATCTTTCAAATAGGCACCAAAAGCTTCCAAATGTGGCTTAATTGCTTGATTCGGGCCTGATTTGACTTGGAATGGATCAATATTGGTGTTATTAGGTATGTCTCGTCAAGTTAGTGACCATAAGTTTGTTAAAATCAGAGCTTCTGCTAATTTTAACAAGAGTTTTAAATTTTTTTATTAAAAAAAATATATTGAGATTCATGCAATACCTTGAGATTTACGTCGAACGATAAAAATTTGTTAATAGTGTATAATGTTAAATATAATCTAAAGAAAAAAAATGTTTTAATGATTCTAAGGGCCATTAATTTGTGTTTTAGCAATTTAATAAACATAATTTTGGATGAAAAACTGAGCTTTTTCAACTGACTTTCAATAATCATAACATAATTTTCGTGAGTTATTTAATAAATTTGAAGTTTTTATATATACTACTTTGAAGCTCTAGTAAATTCCAAACTAAATCATTGCAAAATTAAGAAAACCAACACACAACACCATGGAGAATGACGTTCATAACAAAAACCTGAATAATTCATTTCATTTTGGGCCGTGATTGATTGGTGTGCTAAGAAAAGCCAATTTCATACCTCAGTTTTGTTTCATTTTGGCTCATTTAATCTCTAATAAAATTGAACTTTAATAAAATCATGATAATTAGATAAGTGATTTCGAATAGTTTAAACATCTTCGATTAATGTAATGGTTGAAGGTATACTTTTCCATCGTGAATTTACGGGTTCGAGTAGGACAGACATATTAACTTTTGAGCTCACCTTTCCCAAAACAAAAATTATCTACATCAAATAATTTCTTTTGCAATCCCTTTGAAAAATTGCATAATTTTTTGTATTGGAGAGCTGATATCTCAAAAAAAAAAAAAAGGAAAAAAAAAATCAACTTAATGCAGTTTGAGTGAGCTAATCAACTACTTCGGCCGGTGTTAATTTTCACTCACCAAACAATTTACAAAATCAACCTTACATGTTCAAAAAATTTGAGCTCCAAAACAATTAGCAGCCTCTCTCTTTCTCTTTTTCCAAAATTGTGCTTGTCTCTTGATTATGGAAAAATTTTGCGTTTGTCATTCGTACACTAGTTACATAAATTTTGCGTATGTCATCTGTACACTAGTTACATATAGACGACAGAGTATCCAGTCCGTCGTCCGTATGTAGCTCATGTATGGAAGACTTTCACAAAATTTTCTCATTAATTTGAGAAAATGCTCTCTATCAACTCCTCTACAAGACTTTCCAATTAGCTCTTTTCATAACTATTCTCCTTATAGAAGTAATTTATTTTTATTTTTTGTAAAAGAAGCTCATTTTCCCAGCTCTAGCTCTATAAATTTTCCTTCTCCTCCCCATAATTTCACTCGTTCACATGCCTGTGCAGCCTGCAATCAATACATACATAACTACATAAGAAAATAATAATAATATATATATATATATATATATATATATCTATATATATATAAGGAATAAGTGATGAAAAATACAAAAAACAACCTCGTCATTCCAGTTGGTCTTCCAAAGCACGTAGCAGAGAATGAAAGTCTGCAGGGCAGTTCCCAAAAGCATGCCAACCCATATACCCTAAACCCACATAACATTGTTGGATCAACAGATTATACATGACACCAAAACAATCTTTTTATTATTTACAAGAGCCTATTTTAACCTTATAATCTGTAACAAGCCGAATTAACTAACATTCTTTTCATATTACGAGCTTAGTCCTTACCTGAACTCCCCATTGCAGAGCATACCCCAGCAGGAACCCTAACGGAAGGCCAAATACATAATAGCAAGCCAAGTTAATATAAGCCACTAGAGCTTGCCATCCACCTCCTACTGCCACACCTGCATCCCATAAAATAACATAATTGCTTTATAAATGACTAAAATATTACAGCTTAAGGTACATTTGCAATATAATTTTCTCCATGTCAGATCAACTTTTTTCAAGTGAACCCAAGAATGATAAATATAAATAGTGCTGCCACTGGAACCAAAAAACAGATTTATGTAGCAGAATCTGCTGCCAAGAGAACCGTAGGACAACAAAACGGAAAAAAGAAAACCAAAAGAATATACAAACAAAAACACCGAGAACTTACGCGGTTCGGTCCACAAAACCTACATCGACAGAAGGAAATCAAGAAATAATTCACTAAGATAATCTTGAAGATTATACCACACAATTTCAAGGACGAATCAATTTTGTCTAGCTCTCTATCGATCTTGATCTCGATACAAACTTTCTTTATTCCTCACCTTGCTCTCAGAATTTTTGTTTCTCTTAATATATATATATATATATAGACAATAACTCATACAAGTTGACCGGATAAACACTTGTCATAGCCAAATGATTGTTGTACCCATTAGCTATAGAAAATCTCCTTATGAACTGTGGCGCCGTCTTAGTTCACATAATTGAGAGTTATCATAACAGTTTATATATGTAGTGGTTCTAAAATTACCAAAAGAGTAGTAATTATAAATATGAAGGTTTGTGGTAGATGTGCAAATACATAAAAAGTATGTGATGTGTATCCTTAAACGAAGAAGAAGGAGAAGAAGGGGAGCACCTGAAATCACTGGCTGTATGCTATTGAGCACCATGGTAAGGGCGAGAAGATGCGCAATCTTAGAAACTGCGCGCTGAAGCTCCTCGTCGCTTGTAAAAATAACAGGAAACTTATTACGAGCAGCCAGAATGAGAAACATTGAGCAGAGGCCGACTACGAGTGAGGTAGCAACCACCACCGCCACCGCGTGCTTGGTGGCTCTGGGCCTTCCTGATCCGAGTTCATTAGAAACCCTAACGCTGCTTGTATTAACAGAGCAAGTTAATTAACATAAAATTACCATGCTTAATTATATCAATTATGGCAAGATTAGTTCTTTGGTGCCTTTTTTACCTTATGGCTGCGTTGATGCCGATGAACACCATTCCTTCCCAGCCGCTGATGTTCATGCTGGAAGCCAACGAGAGAGATGGTTTAGTTTAGCAACAGAGTTAAGATTAAGGTTTGGATTATATATTTTACAGATATATATTAATTTAATTAATTTATTGCTTGGATTGGTCATTTACATAAATACCACCCAATATGCTTTTACATATCTAACATTTAAATTTTATTTTTTATATTTATATCACAAAAATATATATATATCATCATTTAATTAAAATAAAAAAAGTGAAATAGGCATATATGTAAAAAACCTAAGGTAATATTTAGATATGTAAATATAAGATGATATTAAGTCATGAACAAAGAAAATATTACATATTTTACAAAATATATGCGGACAATAATGAATAAGGTGGTTATATTATCATAATCATATTTATATGTGATGTGAACATTTCATCTATCATTACTTAAAAAATATGTAATATCATCTGTAGTACAAGACCCCAGAAAAAAAAAAAAAAAAAAAAAAAAAAAAAAAACACTTTTTTGGGCTCAAGGTAGCCTTTATCCTCACATACATCTCACCGACTTGATTTAGGCTCAATTTGGGGCAGTTTGTGCTTATTCAGACAAGTTATTTATTTGGAAATGCGGACCACAAGATGCGGACGGTGTTCCCCCATTTAGTGTAAAAATCAATTGTGTTTTCGGTTTAGATGCCCAAACATAATTTTTAAACAGTGAAGCGACATTTTAAAAACGCCGCCGTAGTGGATATGCTGCCCCAGGCTTAATATTTCTCCATGTAAACACATAGGAATTGTGTGGCATGTACGTAAATGTTCAAAAAAATTATGGAATGCCCCAAAAACAAAATAACTTGAAAGAATTACCAGATGGAAATAGAACCGACGGCGATCTGGGCGCGGTGAAGATGGCCGGCGAGCACAACGAGCACCATCATATACCAAATCTCCAAACAAAGCATGACAGCAGAAGCAAGCGAGAGCTTGACGAAGGCCCACAGATCCCTAAATGCGCCCCATGAGAAACCCTCCCCCCATCCATCCCCGCACCACCGCACGACGTACGCCACCTGTGCAACGGAGACCGCCCACTGCGAAATATCGTATGCGGCTGCTGCGCCGATGATCCCCCACCCGAATCCATAGAGGAAGAGCGAGAGGAGAGCGATGTGGAGGAGCAGGGCTGCGAAGCCTATGCATGCGAGCACCCACACTTTGCTCTGCGCCTGCAGGTTGATTGGGAGCGTAAAAATATATGTTTGGGCAGACGATGGAGAAGAATACAGACAGGTTTTAGTGATTGTAGAATTAATGGAGTAAAAGTTAGTTTTTTTTTTATGATTAGTGAGGGATGATGAACCGTAAAAGATTTTGAATCTATGATACAAAAAAAAGACATATTTTTCTTAGTTATTATCATAAATATGATTAATTTTTTATCTGTCGTATGAAAATACATCGAATTAATAATAAAAAATGATTCTTGAGAACTAGAATGAATGTTGCAGTCAATACAAAGTGTATGAGTGCTCTGAAGTGCAAAATTGGGAAAAAGACTGTCTTGAATAATTTTGTCTCTTTATGTGTGTAGTTTCCATTATAATTTACAAAATATAAAAAATATTTTCTTTCTTTTACTTTTAAAAAATCTTTTGTTACCAAAATATATGAGAAAAAAATAAATTTTACATAAAAATATACGGGAATTTATATACATAACACCTAATTCTTATGCATTTACTTATCACATACCCAAATTTTTATTTTTACACTTATGTATTCACCTTTTCATACATAGGTTGGGGTGTTTAGATTATAAAAAAATCAAAATTTTAGTATGAGATAAGTAAATACATAAGAATTGATTGTTATGTCTGTAAATTCCCAAAATTCACATTAAAACTCTAATTTTTACAATTAAAGCATCTTTTCGGCTTTTCCTATATATGAAAATATGAATTTTTGTAATTCATAAAAATTAAAATGTAGGTGTGAAACATATAAATGCATAAAAAGTAGGTGATATGTTTGTAAATTTCCGTAAAATATAACGTACTCATTAAACAAACAACCAAAGAACACCTTTTTATCTTTCAGTTACCCTTACCTGAAGAAATTTCTGGGTCGGGAAGTTGATAGCGAGGGCGAAAATTTGCGGGATAATGGCGACGGTGAAGCGGCCGGCAGCGTCTGCAATATCAGGATCTTGGCCTATGAGCTTCAGCAGGGGGGCGGCGAAGAGGTATACCGGACACATTAGAACGGCGGATGCTGTGAGAATGATCCATGACCTCTGCATATAGATGCCTAACTTATCCACCTGCCCTGCGCCAAACGCCTGCCCACATAGAGTCTCCAGTGCGCTACCCATACCTAGCTGCTCCCAAATATGATTTTAAGAGAGATCCAATTCTTCCGCATTTACCAATTCCACGTCAAAACTATCATTTTTACAAACTCAGCATCCAATTCATATTTTTCATAGTAAAAAATCGAAGTTTTGATGTGCGACGCTTGAATGCAAAAGAATTGGATGCTGCGTATGTAAATTTCCGTTAAAAGATGTGTCTTTCCAACCATGAACACAGCAAATAAAACAGAGAAAACAGCTTACAAGAAATCCAAAGGAGAAATTGGAGATGACTGAAAGTCCGATCGCCACCGCTGATAACTCCAGGTTTCCGAGATGTCCGGCGAAGATCTGGGTAGTAGAATTGATCCCATACAGGCAAACAATGCTGAATGCGATCGGTGTAGCGATCCACCACAGCTTCATGGATTCCCTCACGAAGATCTCCCAAGCGTCGCGCAAATTCCTCACCTCCGACTCATCTTCTACAACGGGGAGGGCTGCGGCGAGTGCGTCGGCCAAATCGGCATCCGATTCGGTCGCCGGAACAGGGGAGGGAGATGGATCCGACAAGCTATCGAAGGGATGAATGGCCATTGGGGCGTCGTAGTTGGTGAGAAATGGGGAATCCATGGAAGGGATGGTTTTTTCTTCTTTAGAGCTCGAAGGTGGAGAGAGGAAAGCGGAGAGTTTGCGGCTCACGTGATTTGTGCAGAGTGGATGGCGGGAGGGAGGAGGAGGAAACAATTTGCATAGGTTAATTTTTTTATGATATATATATATATATATATTATTGTAAATTAAAACTTTAAATACTATATAAGTAGATGTAAATATTTGAAGATAGATATGAAAATGCATAAGTATTATAATATAGTTTTTTTTTTTAAATAACATATTTTTAGTTTTATTGTATAGATAAAGTATACATTGCTAAATATCTATATTATGTCTTAAAGATGTTAATTTATATTCATAAGTTTATGATTTTGATATAAAAGATTTCAAACAAAATTAAAGTGTTGTGATATTATTCTTGACAAAATAATAAATCTTAAATATATTTATTTAAAGTAGGTGTTCTTGTAATATAAACATGAGACTTAGGTCATATGTTACTATTTTAAAGTGATATTGATAAAAATGAGCAAGTGCATGCACCTAACATAAATTTATGTAGACAAAAGTGTTAAGATTGATATAACACCAAAAAAAAAATCATACAACCAGATATGCATTTTGATAATAATTCTAATTGCACTTTTATAAAATCTTAATAAACTTATAGAACAATCAAAATGGGCTGTGACAACTCAATTTGTATACGTTTATTATAGTATGATAAGCCTACCGAAAAGTTAAACAGTTTTTTAGGGAAAATCTAATAGAGATGACAGTGGCCAATAAGAACAAAAATGAGGATGTCAAGCATTTATGATAAGATCCATTTCACTAATACATGGCTAACCACCTACACACCCCTTCTCAAAATCTCTTGGTAGCTCTTAAATAATTATATCTATTTAAAAAAATAACAACGTTTCTTATAAGTTAAAATATGGTCCAAAATTTAAACATCCATCATGATAGTAAGTTAGGCTTGGGCTTGGCTTGAGATCATATTTAATACTTTTTAATTTTTTTCTTACACTTCTTTCTTGCTTCTTAAGGGTTCCACATCATTTTTTTTTTGAGCTTCTTTATTATTTGTTTATTACTTTCTTGATATTTTGCATCAATTCTATTTTGCCTAAATGTACTCTCACATGCAATGTTAAAAAATTGGCAATACTCAACAACTTAAGAGCTAAATTTTTTAATAACAAGTATCTTTCAAAGATGATTTATCTTTCTTTTTAATTAAGAATTTATGATCTCCATTTTGGCATTTATTAATCTTATTTGTCATAATGAAATCTATCTTCAAGTATGTGAGTTATGCGGGAAGTTATAATTGATTTTTTGTATTGGTAAAGAAAATTCATCTATCGCTAGTTTGTTTTAAAATTGTCATTATTTGTCTTATTTCTAACTTCATTCCGATCTTTGATGTCAAAAACAGTGGTGAGTGGACATCTTGGGATAGTTGGCCCACTTATGTGAGATGCATTTTAATTGCTTAAATTGTTTGAGAGGAAATAAAATGGTGTTGCAAGCTCTATAGTTACGATGGGTGTTGCATGCCATAGCTAGTATATGAAACTTGTTGATAATGGAGCTAGATCGAGTTTGGTGAAGGCTAGCTACTTTGGGTCGGGACTTTGCCTATAATAGAGCTAATTGAGATTGTATGGATTTGGAAGTAGGTTAAAATTTATACTCCTTTATATTTAATGTTTTTTGTGATTGAATAAGGTGGTGGATGATTGATTTGGAGTTAATACAAATATTTGAAGTGATTTATAATAGGTTACGAGGTCGAACAAAAGTAAATAGGCTTCGTGCATGCCATAGGGACTACTTTTTTATAATGATAATGATGGCTAAGATGGAAATATGAGACTTGTTCTGACGGTTGAGTTATATTATAGAGAAATTGGTGAAATATAAGATAAAATTAATGGGTTATTAAAGGCATGGTATTTGGGGTGATAGGATCTAAATGTCAGTTAGGTGTAGAGTGCGGTAAAGTAGGTCATTATCCTTGTCTAAGACGAAGGTGTTTATAGTTATTATTTTAGTGTTGGAGGGATTGGATTGGACTTTACATGAGTGAGAGAAAAAAAATGTGTTAAATGTGTTTATGGAGTTTATGATGGCGAGTTGATGGAATTTGAGGGTGGAAAGGTTGAATTTGTAAAAATTAAGTAAAGGTAAGGGAGTTATTGCAATCAGATATAAGGAACTTCCGAGCCTCATGTATGCAAGGCGTTCAAAAAGTTAAATTGTTTAAGAAAATATTTCTTATGAGTGAGTAAAAAGTTCCTTAAGCGAATAAGATGAAAATTAAAATTTACACCATGAAGTTCTCTCTCTTCTCCTCTCTCTCTCTCTCTCTCTCTCTAGAGAGAGAGAGAGAGAGAGAGAGGAGATCATTAAGCATAATGAGTTATCAATCTCTAAAGTTTTGTAAGCTTCCAAATTAATATATTTTTAATAGTCAAATCATCTGTAAAGGTTGAATATCAATCATAATAACAGCATTAGTTTTGACTGACTTGGGATTTTATCAAGGCCTTCAAAATATTCTTTATACTTACATTTTTTTCTTGGCCTTTCTCTTGTCTCCTTTGTGACTTTTTAATATTCAACATCAATAATTCATAAGAATAAATTGTTGGTTGCTATTACACTACAATCATATCTTTAATGATGAGAGTGAGCTTAATGCATAAGTCTTAGCAATCAAAAAAAGGCATTCACAAGGTTTAACAATCACATGGTTGTGTTGAACTTTTTGATGTGATTAGTGTATCAATCTCTTTCAAAAATATAGAGATTGAAAAAAATAAACATTTTATATTCCTTATCGACTATGAAGGCTTTTTTATTCATAGAACATCAATTATAATGGTCTCATGGAGGGGATTGAAGGTGAAAATCGTGTCAAGGGACGGGCAACGAATCCTACAACTTGCTAGTCCATCAACTCTCACGCTTCTTAAGTAATTAATTGTTATTTTACTCATTTTACTAATTTATCGAGCTTTATCTAGCTAGTAAAATTTATATAGACAGTTGATATAAATCAAATGTTTTGAAGTACTGACGAATCAAGCAAGTATACATGTCATCCAAATAATATACAAAACATAGTCTGTGCACGGATCTCACGATGAATGAACAAATTCCCAAAGTAAAAATTTCTAGCCTACTCGTTTTGTGTCTAGCCTGAAGGTTCGTTTGCTCGCGATTTGTGAAAGTTTCTAACTTAATTTGTGCAAAAACAAAAATCCCAATTTAATTGTGACATGGGAATCTAACAAGTGAAAGTTTCTCTCCTTATTTGGATCCTAAGAACCAATGTTTGAAAAAGTGTCATATATGACAATGACTATTAGGAACCAAATCCTTTTTAGCCCCTCCTGGCGGCAATGGAAATCATGGACAATCAACCAATTTAGCTTTCTAAGTCCGTTGCATCTACAATATTACATATTTTCTTAAATGATAGCAGCAAACCAAGAGCAATATTTTTAATCTCATAATCAATGAATTTTATCCAGGTCATCTCACTTCAGATTCTCCCAAAACTCATAATTCAAAATAGTTTTAAACTTTCCAATTGGCCAAATCGATTGTAAATTAAGATTCAAATGATAAAATTCCATCGCAACATTGGTCAAGCAAATAACATAAACAATACTAAATACTCTAGAATTTATACTCACCAAATCAGAGGAAAAAAGAATAGTAATGACAATTCATACTTTAAAACAACAAAATAGAAATTTCATTCATCAAAATAGTAAATACGTGGTGAGTTTATAAGAAAGAAAAACCTAGATTACACCATTAACATGCGATTTGTTCTATGCACCCCATTGACAATCATTAATTTTCTCAGACAATATTCTCTCCTTAAAAAAGAAAAAATTATTTTTCTCACCCTCCCTTACAGTATTATTCATTCACACTAAGAGAAAAACCAGAAGAAAAACTAGATAAATCAATTCTTAGAATGCTCGAGGGCTCCCTCTTCCCTCAAATAATTTTCGCTTTTGTAGTCATAGAAGACTTCATGCGAGCAGAAACTACCGTAACTCCGACCTCCTCATCCTGCGGATGTTATCACAACTAGTGCGGCTCTCAACTCCAACCTCTTCGACATACACATGTTATCACAGCTTGTGCATCTTCTGACTTTGTGCTTTGCGACCTACGAACGTTATCAAAACTCGCAGCTACGACTCCAACCCTCGATGCCTTTGTACGCCATCGTAGCTCACCACTACGGCTTATGTTACCAACTACAACCTATGCGGCTCACAACTAGTGCAACTCCCGACTTCGCCCATGCAGCCTACGAACATTATCATGGCTTCAAGTCTTGACTCTGTGCCCTATGGATGTCATCACAACTCACCACGATGACCAACTTAGCTTAGCTCTTGCAACTTCCTACTATGGCCTCTATGGTCAATTAACACACTTGAAGCAACTATCTGCAGTGCAGACGGTCAAGTACTACCATGACTTTTAACTATGACCTACACGATAAGCTGACGCTATATAAATCATTTATAATATTTACTGAGACTACTGCTTCTATAACAATCAACTTCAGCTCTTGCAATATGCTATCACTAATAACTACATTCATCACAACCAGACAATGGCTATTAACAATAAACTAATGTTACATATTTATAATAATCAACTTTGTAAATCTATCTTTTCTAAATTAGGAGAAGACTATATATGTGCACTCAACATTCTTAGTAAATTATTTCAAATGGGTTGGGCCCGTGATTTTTCCCCTTTTCCAAGGTTTTCAGGTAAAAAATAAGTTTATCTCCTATTGCTTACTTATCTTTAATTACATCAGTGTGTGTTGGGTTTCTGTGTAACGCTAAGATGATAATTTATTATTATATTGTTACAGACCTTCAGACTCAAGTCAATTATTTTTACCATGACATCCTTATGAAGGGAGAAAATATTTAATATTACTGATAATTATTCGACAAATTCACAATTTATAATTTTCATGAACCAAGAATAATAAAAATAGTCATTTTAATAACTTTCAACATAATGAACAGAAAAAATGGAAGATTTACATTCATATATGTTGTGTCATCAAGAAATTTTTATGATCATAAATGAATATCAATACATTATGAGTAATAAACATTTCAAAATTTAAAATCATGATCATTTGAGCTTAATTTCAACAAATTTATCATCAAGTTGAGTTTCTCGGTGAGAGGAATCCAATGACCCAATATCCTTCAATTTTGAGGTCATTAAGACACTTAAATGTTGAAAAAACAGTTGATCTTAGATCCAAGGTATCAACATGGGTCTCTGATAGTGTGGTTTAGGAAGTTAGGCCAAGACAAGAATAACCATCTCAAAATCTATAAAAAAACTCTCATTTCTTCAATTGGAAAGCGAAGACACTGAGCTTATTGCTAAAGTTTCGCTCTTAAAGTCCGATGGTTAACGTAAGCCATCCGATATAACCGCCAACAAATAAAGTTCATTCCTTGCCAATAGAGATCACTGACAACGAGAAGCCGCGTTAGACTACCAGAGACCACCAACTATCAGAGAACAATACCGATTACCTAATATCATTGTTAACCATCTCCAACTGCTTCTACAACATAATTATTATTCTCACACTGTTGCTATCCAAACTTTACCATGTAATCTCATATTCTATAAGGTTGTCACTTTATAATTGAAATGATACATTGAATTACTTTTATTCGATCAATCTCCATATTTCTTTTTCAAATTTCTGAGTTTTTCACATAAAAAATTCTATTGTGAGTTTCACCATTTTTTTTTTTTGATGTTGATATGCAAATACATATGAATCGAGGGGTATTTATATAAATGCCCCAAAAATTTAGCCAAACAAAAATAAAAAAAAAAATAGTAAGGAAAAAATAATGGATAAGTATTTATGAATTATTTAGCGAATGGATTTCAAACTTATCGGTTAGAGCGATTTCATTAATATTTATGGGATCCCCATTCATTGAAGCAATCTAAGAAATTAAAATGATTGGGATGTCTTCTATTTTTAATTTTTCTTAAAATACTAAAATATACATTAATAGTAACGTGACTATTATTTTATGAGCGATAAAAACTATTTTACCACGTGTAAACACATCTGATAAGTGGGGCCCATCCAATGGCGGCGGCCGTGAATGATACCACTTTTCCATAACGTGAACCAGCGGCCACGTGAACGTCGACGGGGGCAATTCGGGAAACGCGGAAGCTGTTACGCGATACGTTATGCCGCGTGGCAATTTATCGGTAGGCTCTAACTCCGTTCCCGAAACATCACTTTCGTCCCCGCTTCACTCCCACCTGGTTTTTTGAGAAACAGAATATCTTCTAATCTTTTCTTTTTTCTGCTTTTTTTTCGGTTATGGACTTATCTCAGTGTATCGTCATCGTCGTCTGTATATAAATACAAAGCTTGTGCGTCTCCGAGATGTCTCTTCGTTTCCCTTGCTGCTCTGCTTTGGTTTGTCGTACATCGCCGCCGATGGAGAGGTGAAAGGAGGCGAAGCCCCGTTGCTTTTACCGGGGCGAGTGAGGAAAGAGAAGAGGGGGGTGATATTTACCGGTGGAGCCGGGTTTCTTTTTGAATGGTTTTGGGTTTGGTATGTTTAATTAAGGTTTGATTATTGATTTATAATCTTCTTTTTTTTTTTTCGATGTTGAGCTTGTTTGGAATTCATGAGTGAGTGTGCGGTGATGCTGATGTGAGTGAGGTTTTTGTGTATTGCTAGGGTTAGTGATTGTTGGTTTTGGCGTGTTTATGGTTTGATTGATTTTTGATTGATGGTTGCTTTCGTGTGCGAATGTCTAGAGGTTGGTGCGTGTTAGTTTGCGTTTACGATTTCCTTGTTGAGTTTCATTGAATTTTGCCCTAGAATTGGGAAAGTTGATTTCTGAAAATTCGCTTATTTTGTTTGTTCGATAACCTTCTTGTAGAGTTAGAATTGGATGCCTGTTAGCTCTGTATCCTTTTACTTTGGCTGATACTGGATTTACGAATTAAAGGTGAGTGCTGTGAATTGGTACGATGCAGTCTGTAGGGGCGTCAGGAGACGCAATCATTTCAAAATAATGATTATGGTTTTGTTTGGTATTGCTTTTTTGCTACTTTGATTTGGACAGATTGTTAATATAAAAAAAACTGGAAAAGTGCAACAAATAGCCTTATTTTGCACTTGTACTGGGACGGTTTAAAAAAATCGGAATAGTCCTGAGACTAATATCTGGATGGGATTGGTGTTGATTTCATTACGTACCGCACATAATGATTCCAATATCATTTTCATGCATTTTAAGCACAGATATTGGCATTGGGTCTCATATTTAATGAATACTGAAGGAAGTGGTCTTATCCAAAAAAAAAAGTTTTCTTTCGAGAATCCAACGGATTCAATTACCTGATGCTTTCAAAATACGCAGGATAAAATGCCAAACCATGTAAATTAACATGAATTGTTTTCTTATTTTCTTATTGTTTTCTTGACTGCTGATTCTACAAATTAGAAAAAAAAAGGTATGAAGTTTCTTCTGTCAAACAATTGGTAGCTGCTTATTTTCTTTTTGTGTTGCCTATCATCCCCGTGGATCACCACTCTCCTTTATAATGCCATGTTGTTGTGCCTGCAAGTTCATCTGTGATTCTTATGGTCCGGTTGAGGCGTAAAATGTTGGCATGCCATTTCAATCACACTTTGCTGTGGATTGTATATCCCATAGGTATGAACCTCAAATCAATTTAGTGGTTAATCAATAAGGCGACGCACCAAGGATCACAATGCCATATAGAAAAATGTTTGTGGGGTATGGATCTATGAAATAGTCTGTTTTAAACTATTTTATTGAGCTATAAATAAGTATCACATTGAGTACGCTGTGGTTGAAAGATATACCTTTTAAGGCTTTTATCAAAAACTATTTGGTGGATGTGAGTTGATGCTGAAGTTTGGTTTACCTTAATGGAGCCCAAAACATTGAGTATTGAAGAAGACGCATTTGATTGAGTTTCTAAGGTGATGGTGATTTTCTTTTTTGTGTTCATCGCTTATCTCCAAGAATTGATGTGAAGTGACACTGGAAGTGTGCTTATATTAGGGGCTGGTTGGTTTTATTAAAACAAGATGGAGTGAGAAGTGTCCAAGGAAAGCAAATTTGTTGTGTTTGGTTGAAAGTAAATTTAATGAAGAGCATTAATCTAATTCATAGATTATTTTTGACATAAATCTAGTTACAAAGTTTACTCTAGAGGGCTTTCCTTTACATTGCATGCCATTTGGAGAGTACTCTGTTTGGTATTTATGAATTTCTTCTTTTTAAATGATTTTGGAACTCACTAGCATAATGTGCTTGCAATTTGTTTTGATTTTGAGTATTTTAGAAGGAGAAATGGTCTGGATAATGTTCCATTAATTACAAAATCAAAATCTTTTACCAATATTGTGTGCTTCAAGATTTGCAACAAAAGAGATAGTTTTATTATCTTAGCATTAAAAGAAAATTCTGCACACACACAGATAAAATGTGAGTAGCACATAGGAGACGTAAGTATTTTTTATGTAGAAAAAAATAGAAAAGAAAAAAAATTCTGAGGCTAAGCCAAATTTAAATAATTCGACCATATTGAGTTGGACATGACAAACGATGTATTTTCCAATAACTGGAGAAGGCATTTATATTATGTAATATATTTCAATTATGGAAGAAGACTCTCATGATGTATGTAGAAGGATTTTAAGGCATCAAAGTTGTCATCAAGAAACACTTAGTGGTGAGCTCAATCGTTTTCGTTATAGGAAGTGAGATTAATGATGGATAAGGCGGGCATCAATTTCAGTAGGGCCGACAATGGTCGGCCTTGATAGCGACATTGAGCATTGGCGGCGGTAGTGACGATGTTGTAGGTGATGGCAGGTGTTTGTTTTGTTGGTGATAACAGGCAGTAGTGCCATTAGTGAAGATGTGTCATTGTTATTTGCGATTGGGGTCTATGTTGTTGGTAACGATAGACAAAAATGGGTGACAAGGCTATTGGCGCAGCAGGATTCAATGATATTGGCAACAACATGTGTTGACATTGTTGGCGGTGGCTGCAAGCGTCGGCCTTTGTGGCCGCGATGGCTTTGCAGTTGTTTGAAATGGTCAGTGTTTAGCTTTGGCGTCTATGGCAGGCATTGACAGGCATAGACGTTGGTGGAGATAAAGGGAATTAGCATTGATGCTGGTGGTGATCACGGATGTTGGTGTTTGTGGTGATGATGTGCATCAATATTGGTGGAGACAATAAGATTGGTATTAGCAATGATGGCAGACTTTCGCCTTATTGGTGTCAGCAAGCATCAAAGTAGTCGCAGGCATCAACGTGATGTTGTTGACAAATGTTAATTGTCAAAGTCTAGTGTTGGCATTGTTGGTGATGGTGGACATCAGCTTCAATGTTGGTATCAGGCATCGGTGTTTCTGATGATGACATGTGTTGATGCTGATAAAGTATTCAAATTTTCTTAGGACTTTTGAAGCTTTTTTTTTTGGGTAAGCTATGACAATTGATGAGTTTTTTCTGATGTGGATTTTTCTTTGTCGAAATATTCACTTTCCACACACCATGTACATCTCATAACTATCATAGTCCAAGTTTTCTGTCTTTTTGTAAACAATACTAGGGATTTTTGCTACAAATATATGCGCTTTAGAGTTAAAACAATCAAGAATCAGTGTAGAGCTAATGCAATGAAGTTACTGACAGTTTTGGTTGTATGGTTGGTTTTGTGTTTTTGGTTGTATGGTTGTTTTTTATTTTACATTCAGACAGTTTTGGCCTTACATTACTAAAAAATCATTTAAACCAGCTAGCATTTCTTTTATTCTTGACATATGTTATTAAAGAAAAAATTTCCATATAATTATCTAACATTGATCTTTATTTCGTGGCAGGAATAATATATCTTGTAATTCCCTCTTGATTTTCATTTTGGTCAAAACCTTTTTGAAGGGGACCAGCATAAACGACATCTTATAAATAAGAAATGGGTGGGTGTTGCTGCCGTCCAGCCAGAAGAACTGAATCACATGGACCACCTCGCTACTTCTATGTAACTTGTTTCCCAAACTTCTGCTATTTTTCTACCTAGCAAAATTTTAAGGCTCGTCTGGGATCACTTTTTGTTTTGGTTTTGTTTTTTATTTTTATTTTAAAAACATATTTATTTAGTGCATTTTTTCATTTTTTTATTTTTTATTTGAAAACAAATTAATTTGTTTTTAAGAACACTCGAAATATTTTAAAAATTGTTTTGTGTGTTTTTAACAACTAAATATGTTATACTAGATGAAACATGTTTTGTTTTAAATCAAAACATAAACAAAGCAAAATAAAACTAAATAAACAAAATATCACAGTCAAAAGTGATCCCAAATGGCAGCCCATAAGTTGTGCCAAATCTTTGATCTGCTGCCTTTCTCAAACACGGTACCTGAAAAGAATACCTTTATTGTTGGATATTATTTTTTATTTTACTTTTGTTGATGTAATCTATCTGCTTCGTATATTCTTTTTATAAAATGTACCATAACCTATAGCATTCTCTAACTGGTGAAATATCACAGATAGATTATGTGTTTTATTCATCAATTATTTTAATCCATTTAGTGCTATGTTCAGAAATATTGATAAGAATTTTTCAAAAGAGTTGAGAGGCTGTCTTCCTATTTTCTAGACTTTTGTTTAGAATCTAGTACTCTTTTTTGGTTCTTTCCATATATGAAGATGAAAAATGTCTAAATCAATTTAGGCAGATATATTTATTTATGGTTAACGAGTTGGATCTAAATGCAATTCTGATGAAAGAAGAGAACCAAGTTTCTGGAAAAGATTTTTTTTTTTGGAAGAACCGCAATCAGATTTTAGAAATTTATGTATTTACGTATCTATCACCTAAAGTTTTATCTTTACATTTATAACACTTTGGTATCATAAACCTATGCATAAAAAACTATATTTCACTTTTAAAAAGTTAGTAATTGTGGTATGTGTGATGCGATATTAAAGATTTTAGTGTTGCATATGTAAATATGAAAGTTTAGGTATTAGATATGTAAATACATAAGAATAGCTTGGCACTTATGTAAATACCATGTAGATTTTCTTAACAATGTAAAAAGTACTCTAGTGTCCACCGTCAATAGCGAACATAATAACATCATTTAGTCTTTGCTCTGGAACAAGATACATAGATTTATTTGGTGACGTGGTGGATGAGAATTCTCGAGGAGAGGTAAAGAGTGGAGAATTTGAGGATTTGAAGGCTGATTTATGAAATAAAGTCAAAAGCTGCAGATGCATTGATGACAAGATTGATATTAAAATTTTAAAAGTTTAACTTGTAAGCATACATCCCAAAGTATCTATCTTATGATTTTGCATGGCCTTGCCTTTCTAGCAATTAATTTCTAGAAGGCTCTTCTACAAAGCTTTGTGTAGATATAGTTAAATCATTATGTTATTAATTGATTTGAATTTGACGTGTCTCTTAATTACATTAACATCAAAATTATAATTTTCATAATTAAAAGTCCATTTATTATGAATATTTTCATAGAAATCATGTGCAAAACTAATGAATGGCACAATACAATAAAAATGCAAGTAATGAAAATGTTTAAATACTAATATACTTTCTAATGAATGCTAATGAATGCACACTAATTAATTCTTGAGCAAAAATGTTGAAGAAAACTTTAAAACAATCAAAGCTCATAAATATGTTATGCTTATATTGATGACAACTCTTTAAAAAAAAAACCCAATTGACTTAAATATTAATAAATAAATCATAAGCTTTTAGATTTTATCCCCTAGATTCTATTTTTGAAGTTGTATTAAGAAATCAAGTACCAAATATAAAATCAATTTCAATATGATCATTCATTATGTTATACTTTTTGTCTATGGATTCATCAAGAATTTAGTTATCAAATTACTCATTTGAATCATCTATAAGGTTAAACATGATTTGTTTAATTTTACATGCAATAATATTTTAATTTTTCTTAGAAGTTTTAAATTCAATCATGATGTCATACTTAATTTTGATTTCAAACTTGTTATAATCCTTTTTCAAATATAGGTTTAAGTTTACGAGTACGACGTGAATACATCATAAGGTAGGTGTAACTATAGATTTAATAAAGTTAAATGTTGATTCATATTAGAAGCATAATTCTTCTTTTAGATATAAAGTGTCATCAGTAGACTCTTCATGGGCTGTAATTTTCTAAATTTGATGATACTTGATTCTAGTATTAGTGTGTGTTACATGCTTTAGATGTGATATTATTGAACTTTACTGTAGGAATAAGCATAGTTGTAGTAGCAACATAATGACAATTATAATGTTATTCAATATCTAAATTTATCTGTATAGTCAGATGCATTATTTTTTATGACGTGAGACTTAATATATTCTTAGTGATTAAGCAGAGCATTTATTGAATAGATGATCACAACAACAACAACAACAACAAAGAGCCTTTATTCCATATTTGAATCGGGACAAATTATGTTTGTCCATATGACTTTTAAACCTTTCATAATAGTTAAACACATCATAGTCCCCTTATCTATGATTTTTAAATTTATTATGCAGTTGGTTTTTATATTCAATAAATGAGAGATATTGTTATTTCAGTTTACGTTTCATATTAGCCCATGTATCTATTGTTTATTTGCATCACTTGACCAATATTATTAAGCAAATGTCTTTTTAATTTGATTTAGAAAATTTAGCTCTTTGGGAATCAACCATAATGTAATCTTGGAACAAATCTTTCAAATTATTTATCAAATTTGAAATTTTCCTACAATTATACCTCCTCTAAAATATTGGATTATAATTTTGAACCTCGTGAGTCATGTTGTATTTGTCAAGATGCATAGCTTACTCGATTTTTGTTGAAGTTTGACATTATTTTGTTAATTGGCCTTACTATTATGCCCTATTTATAATTGATATGATGAAATCTTAAACTTTAGTATCAAATATGATGTAAGATATCCTAAGGTCTAAGATTTACTAATAGAAATAAAGGATGGGATGTGCAAAATCACACGCACAATAATAATTAGTAGTTCACCAACTTTGAACTTAATACATTTTATTGTCCTGTTAGATGAAAATTATAGCAGATAACTCCCGACATTTGACATATTTTGTTTATTAATTATAGCACTATTTTAACATTTTTATGATACCTCCTACATATGGAACATATTAGAATTTGGCGTATTCCTTATATATCATATTATTGCATTACTTTCTATTTGCTTTCATGTGCTTATGAGGACCATAATAATTTGCAACGTGTTGGGCTTAAAACAAAATTTTGATTTTTTTTTATTAGTGCCCAGAGGATTTTGAGGAGAACGAACCTTTGTCTTCCTCTCATGATATACCATCTGCAGTTCCAGTGCTTCCTGTAGTTCCTGTTCTGAATACTTCAATCCCTGATTCTCGTCAAGAACCTAACGCGCTGCTGCTTCATGAGAATTTTGCTCTCGCACACTCTAATACTGAAAGGGCTGAAAACTTAGTTAAAAATGAGCGCCGGCAGCCAACCGATACTGTACCGATGGGAGATGTACAGAGGGACAGGTTTGAAGGTTCTGACAAAGAGTCAGAAGTCAAGAGTGTTTCTGAATTTGTAAGCAATTCTCCTAAGATTAAAGAGAAGCTTTCAAAGTTAGAAGATTCATTACTTCTAGTTTCAGATGAGGAGGATGTTTGTCCCACATGTCTTGAAGGTAGCATTCTTTGCACTTAGTTTTATGCAATTTTTTTTCGTTGTTATTCTTGTGAGTTAGTTTGTCTGAGATTTGTTATTTTCCGGGGAAGGAATAAAATTTTGCAGTATTTAAACAAATCTTTTGTTGGAATTTATTTGGCCAGTGAAGTACCTCATTCTGTATAATTCAGTTTTTGTTAGGGGCATGTACATGAATACCACTCAATTCTTATGAATTTAAATATCTAACACCTAAATTTTACTTTTTTACATTTACACCACCCAAATCTTTCATATTACATGAAAATACCACCATTTTAACTTGTAAAAAGTGAAATACACCTTTTCATGCATAGGTCAGTGGTGTATGTGTGAAAATGAAGTTTATGTTTTAGATATGTAAATACATAGGAATTGAGAGGCATGTATCTTAATCTTCCTTTTTGTTGTCATATACAATGATTGAGGTATTTGATAAAGTTTTTTTTTTCTGATAAAGTTTGTCATGTCTTTTGCAGAATATGACGCTGAAAATCCACGGATTATTACAAAATGCAAGCATCATTTTCACCTTTCTTGCATTCTTGAATGGTTTGAGAGGAGCAATACCTGCGCCATTTGTGATAAGGTAAGAAAGTAGAAACAATTTTTTGCATAACTGATTGTAACAAATCTCTGATTCTCTTTCTTATATTGTGTTTTTCGAAACCGTCTAAATTTAGCTCGTGAAAATTAAATTGGTGTGTACCACCGAGAGACACTAAAAAAACAAAAACATGAAAGGTATTTCTATTCCAAATGGAAGCCGAAGGCATGAAAAAGCTGCTCAGCCACTACCTTAGCAGGTATAAAAAGGCTGAAACAAACAAAAAGTAATGAGAGACCACATGTCTCATTTGCTCACACATGAATTATAAAATAATCAGATAAACAACTATTAAAATATAATAGTCAACTAATACTAGGAATATAAGCTATTACGAATATGACATTGTGAGGCCCAAATGTTCTCAAGCTGCATCAATTCACTTCCACTTCACAGGAACTCAACTCGAGTTCAGAGAGACGAATCTATCCTTCCTCTAGGACGTGATATGCATACAAATTAGAAACATTAAAGATGGTGGAAAGGTTCAAATCTGGTGGTAACTCCAACATGTATGCGTTCTCATTAATGCGTTTGAGGATCGGAAAAGAAACAATTTTATGAGGCTTGAGTTTTGGGTAGGTTCCTGGTGGAAAATTTCTTTGCGAAGTCGAACCATCACAAGGTCGCCCACCTCGAAGATTTTCTGTCTTTTGGACTTATCTGCTTGAGTTTTGTAGCGATGGTAGGTGCTGGAAAGTTTGTTCTTGACCTCACGCAGCATGGTATTAAGTACATTTACCCACTCGGTTGCATTACTACTTGGAAGTTTGGGAATAACAACGAGACCAACCGTGTGATTGGGGGCTTTGGTGTAGACAATGTTGAAATGAGTTTTACTCGTAGAATGATTAACCATTGAATTGAATGCATACTCAGCTTGGCCCAATCGATCATCCCACCATTTCGGTTGATCCCTAACTAAGCAACGAATCATATTTCCCAGTGCTTGTTTGAGGATGGTAGGCTGAACTAAAATTAAGATTAGTATTTAAACATTTCCATAATGCCTTCCAAAAACAACTCAAAAATTTCATGTCTCTGTTCGATGTTATGCTCCGCGGAAAATCATGAAGCCGCAAAATCTCTTGAAAGAAAAGCTTCGCAATATTGACAGTGTCATATGTCTTTTTACTTGACACGAAGTGTGCCATTTTTGGAAAACGATCTACAACCATCATTACCAAATTTGAACCATGCTTGGTACGAGGAAGTCGCAATACAAAATCTATACTAACATCTTCCCATATGGATTAGTATTTAAGCATTTCCATAATGCCTTCCAAAAGCAACTCAAAAATTTCATGTCTCTGTTCGATGTTATGCTCCGCGGAAAATCATGAAGCCACAAAATCTCTTGAAAGAAAAGCTTCGCAATATTGACAGTGTCATATGTCTTTTTACTTGACACGAAGTGTGCCATTTTTGGAAAACGATCTACAACCATCATTACCAAATTTGAACCATGCTTGGTACGAGGAAGTCGCAATACAAAATCTATACTAACATCTTCCCATATGGATTAGTATTTAAGCATTTCCATAATGCCTTCCAAAAGCAACTCAAAAATTTCATGTCTCTGTTCGATGTTATGCTCCGCGGAAAATCATGAAGCCACAAAATCTCTTGAAAGAAAAGCTTCGCAATATTGACAGTGTCATATGTCTTTTTACTTGACACGAAGTGTGCCATTTTTGGAAAACGATCTACAACCATCATTACCAAATTTGAACCATGCTTGGTACGAGGAAGTCGCAATACAAAATCTATACTAACATCTTCCCATATGGAATCCAAAATTGGGAGTGGAAGGTAGAGACCGGCATTTTGTTCGATGCCCTTAACATTTTGGCATATGGTGCACTTCTCTACAAAACGACAAACATCCCTCCACAATTTTGGCCAATAAAATTGTGCTTATAATATTTGCAATGTTTTGTCCCTCCCTGTATGAGCTGCTAAACCGCCATTATGACACTCTAAAATGTGATATTGACGAAGCGAAGTATTTGGAATGCATAGTTGGTTACCTCTATAAAGATAGCCCTGATGAATAGTGAATCCGATTGGGATTAAATGTTGGCTGCATTTGGTTCAAATGAGAGCAAAATCTTCGTCTTCCCAATACAATTCTCGAATTGACTCCATTCTAGTAATGCTTGTTTGCAAAGATATAAGTGAACTTGCCTTACTTCTTAGAGCATCAGCTACATGATTATGTACTCTAGCCCGATGTTTCAACACAAAAGTGATTTTTTTTAGGAAAATTACCCATCTTGCATGCATCTTGCTAATTTTCTTTTGACTTTGCACAAATTTGAGGGGTTGGTGATCACTATAAAGTACATATTCTTGATGTAGTAAATAATCTTCCCAATTTTTCAAAGCTCGGATGGCGACATACAGTTCTTGTTCATAAGTGGACCATTTCTAACTCGCTGGACTTAACTTTTCACTGAAAAATTCCACCGATTTTCCCTTTTGGTCAACACAGCCCCCACCTCAATTGTCGAAGCATCGGTCTCCACTTGGAAACTGGCGCAGTACATAAACATTGCTTGAGTTGATCGAAACTAGCCTGTTGCTCCCTTCCCTATTTTAAAGATTTTTTCTTGAAACAATCTGTTAGTGGTGCTGCGATAGAACCGAAATTTCTGATGAAACGTCTATAAAAATTTGCAGGCCCATGGAAGCTACGAACCTTCGTGATAGATTTTGGAATTGACCAAGTTTGTATAGCTTCTACTTTTCGTGAATCCACCCGTACATCATCTCGGCCTATTATAAATCCCAGGATATGAACTTCCATCATAGCAAATTCACATTTATTCAAGTTAAAGAAGAGCTTATGTTCCAACATATAGAAAATACATATTTGAAGTGTTTCAAATGCTCCTGCATAGAAGTATTATACACAAGCATGTCATCAAAATATACGACATAACACCATCCTAGAAATGGCTTTAGAACTTCATTCATGAGCCTCATAAAGATGATCGGAGCGTTGCACAAACTGAATGATACTTGCCACTCATATAACCCTTCTTTCGTCTTGAATGCAGCCTTCCACTCATCACCCAGCTGAACACGAATTTGATGGTATCCACTCCTCAAATCAAGTTTTGAGAACATGCTAGCTCCCTGTCACGGACAAATAGTCCCACATCGGCTAGGTGTAGGGCCGAAAAGCAATATTTAAATCTTGGGCTGTCCATCACCCATAAGAGCTCTTTTGGGAGGTGTCAAGTGGTATCAGAGCAAAAGTGGTATCAGAGCAGATTACTGTCTGTCAGGTGTGTGGACTCTCCATGGTCCAGTGGGACCCTCGGTGGAGCCGATCCGTGACGAGAGCGTCACGTGATTGGGTGGAGGAGAATGTCACGGACAAATAGTCTCACATCGGCCAGGTGTAGAGCTGAAAAGCAGTATTTAAGTCCTGGGCTGCCCACCACCCATAAGGGCTCTTTTGGGAGGTGACATCCCGCTAACTTATCCAATAAGTCTTCCATACGAGGCATTGGAAAATGAAATTTGATAGTGATTTTGTTTATCGCTCTACTATTCACACATAATCTCGAAGAACTATTTTTCTTAGGAACAATTAATGCCGGAACAACGCATGGACACATGCTATGCTGAATGAACTGTTTTTGCAAAAGATCATCCACAATGGCTTGCAGTTTTTGATGTTCAGTAGGACTCATTCTATGATATGGACTGTTAGGGAGTGTCGCACTAGATACAAAATAGATTTGATGTTGAATTGCCCGCAAAGGTGATAGCTATTTAGGAAGAGCTCAGATGGCATTAAACATGGAATTTATTGTAGAAGTTGTTGGACTAAAGTGCGCACCTCCGTCAAAGTATCATTTTATTCTTGGACAACCATGGCGAACATAAGTTCTGGACCACGGCAAGCCGACATCCACTGCGACCCCGACACAATAATATAGGCTGATTTTTCTTCAATTCCCTTAGTGAGGGATGGGGCACTCAAATTGGTGGGAAGTTGTCCAATTCGCTTGTTTTTCCATTCAAAGGTGTACATTAGCACGACCATCATACCATACCCCTAAGTCGAATTGCAAAGGCCGCAGTGATGACACATCCATTTCGAGCATATCACAATTAACTTCATACAAGAAGTTGCTTCCAATAGAGAAAGACCCTTTGCATCGTTTTGTCACCATAACTTTCACCTCTTTTTTTATATCCAACTAGTCTTTTATGGTTTAGGATGTTTGGTGGTTTTGAGTTGCAAAGTCTTTACCACACTGCCTTGACTATAACATTTTCGGTAATGCCGCTATCGAAAATCAATTTACACACCTTTCCTTCGATGGTACATCTTATCCTGAAGATTGCATTGCGTTGAGTTAGAACGGGTTGTTTTGGTGCAAGCAGGACTTTCTGCAAAATGCAAGCTAGAAGCTCGCCATCAACTGCGGGAACATCCTCAACCTCTTCACCAGCGAAAGGATACAACTCATCATTGTTTGAATTTGTGTCTAACTCTCCTTCAAGCAGCTTAATTTGTTTTCGATTTGGACATTCATTCGACTTGTAGCCTGGTTGAAAACACCTAAAGCATTTTTGTGGCCTTGGTCGATGATACAAGCTGTCTCGGTTGGGCAAAGCTTCACCCATAAATTTTTGTTCTTCTCCAATAGCGGTAGCCCTCTATCCCGAAGGATGAGCATCCTGGTTCCAGATATTGGTGTTTGGTAACCCGCTAGGTTCAATAGATAATTCAGTGATAGGTTTTTAACGCTAGCTAAGCTTGAGGCCCGATTAATTTGAAGCTCTGCTTTATAGGCGTAGTTGACAACCTGTAAAAGAAACCACACTGCATTCATCTCCAATTTATCTTGTATAGATTCTTTCATATATCGAGCCACAATTTATTGGTTGGATTCCCAAAAATCGCTGTGAGCACTCAAGCAGTAAAACTCCTACGTATAAGCACTAACCGTGTGGTTTTCTTGCGAGCAACACTAAAACCGCACATATAGAATTTGTTCGTAATCCGTTGACAAAAAAATGATTCCTTAGCAATTGCTTCATTCGATTCCATCTACGAATGGGCCTTTGGCCCTCCCTTTGGCGGGATTGAACAAGTTGTTGCCACCATGTACCGGCCCCGCCCTACAGGCTACATTGCGAACTTGGTTCTCAGTAGATATCTCCATATACTTAAAAAAAGCTTCCACAGCCTGCTCCTAATCCAAGTAGTCTTCGATATGCAAATGGCCATCTAAATATGTTATGTCTATCTTTACTTTGTAATCGTTGTAAATTCGATAAGTTGATCTTCGACCTCTTTTGGGTTATTCATCATTCGGATCGTCTATCTCCGAATCAGAATCCAAGTACCTATCATGCCATTGAAAATATTTCTACTCATCCGAATCAAGATTTTCAGTACTTACCGATGGTTTGAACACTGGGAGCGCTTTTGATTACGAATCGCCATAGTGTTTTCACCCGTCGTTGGTGTGGGTGCCAAGACAGCCGGTGTGGTTGCCGATTTTGTGAATCCGCTTGTCCTCAATTGTTGATGTTCTTAGCGAACTTCATTCATGAACTGCGACACATCATTGGACATTTCATTCACCTTTTGTTCCAACTTGAGTTGAGCTTCACGCAAGAACTCCCAGCTTCGAACACGGTCGATCACCAATGACTAGCTGCTTTCCGCCATTGAAGGCTCTGATACCAAATTTGTGAACCACTGAGAGACACCAGTACCTGCAAGAGGAAGGAAATAAAAAAAGAAAAAAGAAAAGGGTTTTTGTATTCCAAATGGAAGCTGAACAGCAAAAAGCTGCTCAGCCACTATCTAAGCAGGTATAAAAAGGCTAAAACAAACAAAAAGTAATGAGGTACCATATATCTCATTAGCTAGCACACGGACTTATAAAAACACAGATGAACAACTATTAAAATATAATAGTAAGCTAATGCTAGGAATATACTGTTACGAATATGAGATGGTGAGACCCAAATATTCCCAAGCTGCATCATAAATACAATATATATACTCTGCTAATTAAAAGTTCGGGGCGAAATTTTTTTCTTTTTATAAAAGTTTCTTTTCTTCATCAAGGTAAATAAGCTACCTTTATTACTTTTAAACCTTCCCTTTGTACATAAAGAAAAATTTAACGTTGACACATTTTCAACAGGTGTGTTTATGTTTCATGTCACATATAAGAGAAAAAAAAAGTGTCAAAATAGTCTCCTGTTGTTTTGCAGAGTGACATTTGGGTCTAGAGTTTATAAAAATATCAATTTAGACTCCATACTTTTTTAATATGGGTTAAAATAGTATTTAATGAGAACTATTTTAGCTCCCATTAAAAGAATCTGGTGATTAATTTAGTGTTTTTATAAACTATGACTAAAATGAGGATATGTAAATAAATCTGAGGACCTTTTTTTTTTCTTTTACCCAGAGAAAAATATGCTACCTAGAGTAGGTGAAAATTGTATTTTTTTATGAGTGGGAGTCCCTTTCTCTTCTTTTTCTTTATAGAAGCATCCTATCATTTCAGTGGTCCTATGTAAAGAATTATAAAATATAAATGTATTTATTTTTTTTTTTTCTTGCAGATTATGGAGGTTGATAATATGGCTCTCTTTGACCAAACCTTGTAGACATATCTTTGTGAAAGGGAAGCACCGATTTCATTTTTTCTTTGCTTAAGCTATTTTCGTTGCTGAATCAATCTAAACTGCATACGTTTGATCTCCTTCTTCAAGCTCCGACCACAACAACTTAGTGGAATTTTTTTGAAATTGCCTCAAGGATTTTAATATAAATGGAAGTCAAAGCACAACGTTTTATGTTCAAAATCAAGCCTTTTTCACATCCCAAAATTCTCATTTTTTTATCTGGTTGATCTGAATATAGGTTGGATGAAGAAAATATGTGAGCTCGAGTCGGTTATCTGGGGTTTCCGTTGTCTTTTTTTGTCTATTATGATTTTTTCCTTCGCATGTACAGGTTCTCTTCTTCTTCTTCTTCTTTTCTTGTTTTTTGTGTGATAATTCTTCTATACACTATGTCTGCTAAATCTGTATAGCTGTAAATTCTTACAGTGCTCGTCATGTCTGTCATTTGTTTGAACTTTCTTAAGAATGAATAATAGATTGGAATATTTTGTTTTATTTTCAGATGAATGGCTGAGGGAAGATTTTTGGATTATTATTTATTTTTAATTTAACAAGTTTACATACCTTGAACATAATTCTTTTGTATTTTACATATCTGATTCTCTCTCAATTGTCTTTTCAAAGTTTAGGTAATGATGTAATTGATTTGGGTAGAAATTTATGACCCAAATTGACTTCTGAATTTTTGTTTTGTTTTGTTTTGTTTTGTTTGGATAGTACTTGAATTTAATATCTTGAAAATTTTATTTAGTTTTCAATAAATATGTTATGCAGTCGAAACATATGGTTTAGGGTCTGTTTGGGGCAGCTTATAAGTGCGGCCGTACCGTATGGTTCGCGCGTTTTGCCAGCTTATCCGAAACTTCATGGTTTTTACACTAAACGCAGGCCGCAGGTCGACCCTGTTGCCGTTGCCGGCCCGTGGGCCGCGTTTCAGGATAAGCAGCTTATTCTGAAACGCATAAGCTACCTCAAACGGACTCTTAGTTTGGATGGTCGACCAGAATTTCTCATTGGTTATTTATTTATTTTTGTTATTGATTTGATTTGATTTTTTTTATCTGGATGAACGTGGCATATTTTTTAGGTCAGTTAGGTAAAGACCTTTTTAAGTGAGTCTTCAGACTAATCATTGCAGCACATGTCCTTTGATCTTTTTTTTTTAATTTTGCATTAAATTTCGATGCAAAGTTCCTGTGAACTTGATTTTGATTGATTTGAATGCAATCGAGGAAGAATTTTTTGCAATTTTATGCTGAGTTATCCTTTTTTCTTATTTACTTTTTTTTTTTTTTTTTTTGGACATGTGCAAGTTAAAGACATTAGTGTTAGTTAGGAGATGTCGGTGTGAATTAAAGGCAGATGAGTGGACTGCATGTTCATTTGCTTCAATTTTTATTATGCATCTAATTTCGACCAAAAATCAATCTTTACCAAACAAAGGTAGGTTTATTGGTTCCTTTTAAGGATGAAGAAAAAAATGGAGGTTATTTTCTAGCATTTCTAACACATCTAGAGCAATAATAAGAGTTTTAGTACATATGTTTGGAATATATTAGAATGAATGCTTTATTTGTTGAATTCTTTTGTTACGTGAAATCTCGTATAATTTGTGAGCTCATACAATAAGGGAGGTATTTTTAAGGAATGAGAAAAAGATGAGGAATTTTTATAGAGTTTTTTAAGGATGCATGATTGAGAGAGTATCATTTTCTTTTCTTTTTTTTTTTCTCATTTAGATATTCAAATGTCTATGTACCTATACATGGTTCTAGAAAACAAACCTTAAACTAGGTTATAGGCTATTTAGTATGGAGCTTGAGTTGGCACATTATTGACAAAAGCTGTTGGTGTGGATAGTCATGCTGACGGTATATATGTTGACAGATGAAAATTTTCTTTCTTCTACTGTGGGGTGTTGTTCGCCGAACTCAATGGTGTAATCTAGTAGGTGTAAGCCAGTTTGGTGAGAATGTTCAAACAACTTGTAGGAGTATGGAACATGAACTCCGGTAATGTATACATGTTTGGTTGGAAGAGCTCGCTTGAGAATTGAGATGGGGTAAAAACTTTCTGGAATGTTCAAGTACTTTAGAGATACTCTCAGGATCCTTCTATACAGTAAGGAGCTTTGTAGCTTGTCACTTCCAAAGATTCGACTAATTAGTATCATTTATCTGGTCAGTGACAGACCACTAAATGCACAACTATTGGGGCCGACCCATCAACCCCATAATAATTGGGCTTTTATGTTGTTTAGCAACTCATTTGTGGGCATACAATATTTGTTAGACATAAAATAAATAATTTTAAGAAGTTGGATTTGAGTGCTCATCTTGCTTAAAAATCCAAAAAGAGAGAGTAAGTTTGGAATCTTTTTTACAAGATGTATAAACTGAATATGGTCATCTTCACGTATCTTGTCATTGTAAGGAATTTGACATTAAGTCTCTTGCCTTTCAGAACATTGAAACTCTGATGCTCCTCAACGATGAGATGCATAGTTGTCGGTTCCCGACCCCTAGCAAATGGTTGAGGGGATGTGGGAATCGTCCAAGCACTCTTATAACAAAGAAAACATAACTTTTTCCTCCAATTGGGTTCTCTAAGTTTAGCATTATTACCTTCATTGCAACAAACAATATCGTCCCATCTTTGAACGCCTTGGGACAAAGCAAGTTGTGAAAAACATTCACCAACTAGAATAGTTTCCTATTCCTCAAAAACAAGATCACTAACATTACATTGGCTATCAAGTTTGGGTGAATCTATGTAGAGACTACTTGAAGAATTTAAGAATGTATACTAGTTCTTCGCACAAAAAAAAAGTGAAGGCTAAGCCAGAATTGGTTTTGATAACAACACATATTGTACAAAAATATAGTATTCATACCTTTGTCCTCTTAAGATAGCCAAAGAATATATGAATCATTGAAGATACAATCTTGTTGTATCGTGGCAATAGCTTTCATAGTCAATGAAGATATGATAAACATCTTTGAAGCAAGAAATTTTTTGCTATTCCTTTCCATAGCAGCGACGACCATATCTACCTTCAGACTCGAAACCTTGAGATTTGTTAGGGTACTGAAAAAAAAAAAGTCACAAGCAAACCCAAAAGCTAGGGCACCACATAGAAGTACTAAGGCATAAAAGAAGAAGAAATTGAGAAAGGGTGTAGAATGTGAACTCTTTTATGCAATCATAAGAGTAAAAATAAAAATACATTCTATTAATAAAAATGCATGTCCAAAAATGTTTAAAAAATTTAAAAATTATTGCATAATAAATTAGTCTTCATCATAAAGTAATTGTGCTCATATTGTGATATTCACGATTATCAAAAACATCCTCTTTATATAAAAAAAGCTTAAAGCATTCAACATCAAATAATAAAATACAAAAAATGAAAATATACAATCACAACCCTTTATAATATAAACTCACATCATGAATCTTCACATCATTCATATTAGTTTTTTTGGACTATAGAAGTCTCTTCATGACTAACTGTCTTTTATAAATAATTGGCCGAATTGAGACGATTCGACTTATTGACGAAGCAACAACAACATTGACTTCATTTTCTCTAACTCTTTGCGATTCTTCTGAGTTTCCATTAAACTCATTGAAAGCTCATCTTTTAAAAAAAAAAGTCATGCTCTTTGTCTCTCTGCAAGTTATCATCCATATCCATGTCATGGTCTTACCTATCGAGTAGCTTATATTCAAGACGACCCAAACTATCTTTATGATCAACAATTCCTCCCAAACTTTTGTGAGCTCCTTTCAAGCTTTTGTGAGCTCTTTACTGGTCTTTTCGAACTCCTTGCAAATTGATAACAACTCATTCCTCAAGTGGCATACATGTTCAAAGAAATCGATATAAAAAATAGTTAAATAAAGGAGTACAGTATCCACCACCAATGGACTATTTTCAATAGTGGTCCTCGGTTCCTCCTTCGAAGGTAATTTTTCAGAGGCAATGACCCAAGTATACAAAGTGTGTGACAACAAACCCAAGCCAACAAACAACAATTGTGCACAAAAATTTGTAGTTGAAGCCTAACCACTAACAACTCATATAGGTCAAACTAAGGGTCGTTGAAGCCTCACCATTTACTTACTGACTCATACAACCTAGACCTTTAGAAGGAGAACACAGACAAAGTAAGACACTCAATGTATAGAAATGTACAATAAGCAAATCGAGTGCATGAGAAACTAAGCCCCAATTGCATGACACAACAAAATCATCATGATATGAACACTGCAATTAAAGCAGGCCGAAGTAACAAAGGCACCAAATGAGTATGTTCAGCAACTGTAGTCTCTCGAACCACATGCAATGGGTCATACAATGCATGTATAGATGATGTTTTGATCACATAAATTTAAAATTTACATTTCAACCAGCCAAAATTTTATATCCTCCAAAAAAAAGTAGTGATAAAATATTTAAACTTTTAAATTTGGATGATTAATATTATTATATTTAAAACTTTGGATAATTTACATATATATTTATATCTGACTATGCTCCTTCGCGCTTCCTCAGCATCCATTTTAGCTCCTCAATGTAGCCTGGTCAGAGTTCATTCTTATCATGGATTCATAATGCGCTTCTCAGAAGAAAAGGCAGCAGAACTACAGTAAAATGGCGGCAAGTATCTGCACCTACTCGCCTCCGACTCTCACTTTTTTCGTCTCCTTCCTCCTACACAGTTGCGCCTCCAAAACCCTAAACCCAGAACTAGAACTAAGAACCCTAGGTGCCCCGCCTCTGGTTTCTATCAACACCACAATCCTCAGCCCCAACCGTACCTTCGAGCTCGGATTCTTCTCCGTCGACGGTGGATCCTCCTTTTACCTCGGCATCTGGTACGCTTCCATCCCCATTCGCACCTACGTCTGGGTCGCCAATCGTCTCGCACCAGTGCGCGCCCCTTCGCCATCGGCTCTTCTGACCGTCGCCGGAAGACTCGCCGTCGCCGATTCCCCCACCTCCATTATTTGGGAGACCGATAACACTGTTCCCGCCGCCGCAGTTCAGCTTCTCGACACTGGAAACCTCATCCTTCTTTCTGTAGGCGGTCGAGGCTCCGCTGCGTGGCAGAGCTTCGATTTCCCCACCGACACTTGGCTGCCGGAGATGTCGATCACGCGCAGCATGGTGATCACTTCCTGGCGGAGCCCCATAGATCCGTCTCCCGGTCAGTACTCTCTCCGGCTTCGCCCGACGGATTTGGGTGAGTTCGAGCTCGTCTTCAATGGCTCCGTTTCGTACTGGTGGACGGGGAAATGGATCGGGACCCGATTTGCCGGAGTCCCTGAAATGACAGTGCCGTACATCTACAGCTTTAGGTTTTCAAATCCGTTCACCACTGAGGCTACGTTCGATTACTCACAGTCGACGTCGGAAGAGTCTGGTCTCCAGCCACTCCTCTCACGATTCGTTGTCGATTCCTCCGGACAGCTGATGCAATACACTTGGTCCCCTCAGGCGGCAAGCTGGAACATGTTCTGGTCTCGGCCGGAGAACCCCTGTCGCGTCTACGGCCGCTGCGGCGGTTTCGGTCTATGCTCCGGCGGTCGCGACCTCCGGCCTTGCAGCTGTCCGGCAGGACTTCGTCCCGTGGATTCCGCCGGTTGGAACTCTGGTGATTTCTCCGGTGGATGCTCCCGGGACGCCACCTGTTCCGATGAGGATAGCATATTCACCGAGATCGGCCGCGTCGAGCTCGACGGCGCCGTGGATGACACTTTCTCCGGCGTAAGCCGGGGATCCTGTGAGGATTCTTGCAGGAAGAACTGCTCCTGCTTCGGTCTCACCTACAACCCTGAATCTCGCGTATGCACGAATCTGTACAAGAGCGCTTATAATATCCGAAACAGCACAACCTCGCCTATTCTGTCGATTAGAATTTCGCCGGGAAAGGGGTTCTCTAATCGGGGGAAATGGAAGATAGGAACTCCCATCCTCGTTATACTCTGCGGTCTCGCTGCAAATACTGTAATCGCCTTCCTCCTCGTCACTGCCGTGCTCCGGCGGCTTCGGAGATTAAAAACAGGAAAAGAATACGGAGAAGATGGCGGACTGAAGATTTTCACCTACAAGGAGCTCTCATCAGCTACTCGCGGGTTTTCGGAGAAGCTAGGGCACGGAGGGTTTGGCGCGGTTTTCCGAGGCTCGCTGCCGGATTCTACCCCGATAGCCGTCAAGCGTCTTGAACGCCCCGGCGGCGGCGGCGACCGCGAGTTCCGGGCTGAGGTATGCACCATCGGAAGCGTACAACACGTGAACCTTGTCCGCCTTCGTGGCTTCTGTTCGGAAGACCTCCACCGCCTCCTCGTTTACGACTACATGCCTAACGGTCCTCTCAGCGCCTATCTCGGCCGCCGCTCGAAGCCTCCGCCGCTCAGCTGGCCGGCGAGGTTCCGCATCGCTATCGGCACGGCGCGGGGTATCGCATATCTGCACGAGGAGTGTCGCAATTGTATCATCCACTGCGACATCAAGCCAGAGAACATTCTATTGGATACCGATTTCATCCCTAGGGTTTCCGATTTCGGATTGGCGAAGCTGTTGGGGAGGGATTTGAGCAGGGTATTGGCGACCACGAGGGGGACTCGAGGGTACGTCGCGCCGGAGTGGATCTCCGGCGTGGCGATCACGGCCAAAGCTGATGTATACAGCTACGGGATGACGTTGATGGAGATCATTGGAGGGCGGAGGAACGTGGAAGCGCGTTCTCCGCCTGCGGCGGCGGAAGATGCAGAAGGGGCGGACGGGTGGTTCTTTCCGGCGTGGGCGGCGAGGAGGATTGTGAAGGGGGATTTGGGGGCGGTTGTGGAAGAGGAAATGGAGGGTTACGACGGAAGAGAGGCGGAGAGAGCGGCCAGTGTGGCGGTGTGGTGCATACAGGATGATGAGGCGGCGCGGCCGACGATGGGGACTGTGGTGAAGATGCTTGAGGGGACAATAGAGGTGACGAAGCCCCCTCTACCGAACATGCTGCAGGCGCTCATCGCCGGCGAGTCGTTCCGGCGGGGGAGTGTTTTGTCCGCCGGAGAGATTTTGGCCGACGGTTCGGGATGATGATGGTTAGGGTCACCGCTAGGTAGGATACCGGACTTTTGAGGTAAAGACAAAATTTGAAGCGGTAAAGCGTGGGTGGGCCCCGCTGGAGGTGGAAGTACAGCGGCTCGTGAGGTAAGAAGCTGGAAACTAATGATTATTAACCCATTTTTTTATTTTTATGATTTTAGAATCAGCAGATATTTTAATGCCATAAAAAAGTTCGTTAAAATATTATCTGACAATTCAGTAATTATTGTTAGATTTTTTTTTTGTTTTATGTTTTTTTTTTCATCATCATCAATATTGCTAGTTTTCTATTATTTTTTTATTATTTAGTATTTATTTGATTAAAATAAATTAAATAAAGAAGGTAGGCATCATCATTAAATTTTAAATTTTAATCAAAATATGGAAAAAATATTACATCAGGACTCCACACGTGGAGTTACGTGTGAAGTCCAATGAAATCACTCCACACACGTGAATGTGAGGAAAAAAATCGACCAGATAACAGGAGAATATTCTTCCCGTATTATTTAGTTGTTATTGTGTGTTATTCAAGAGTTATTAATGCATTATTGTGTTATTATAAAACTAGTAATATTCTCATAACACAATAACACAAGAATAACTTATAATAACACCTGAATAATACGTGGAGAATATTCTTCCGTGTTACTTGTGTTACCGAAAATATTCTACTTTGACGTGATTTTATTGGATTCCGCACGTAACTCTACGTGCGTAGTCCCGATGTAATATTTTTTTCCGAAATATGGTCACTTAAAAGTTGAACTTATTAATGAAAGGAGAATATTCTGGAAGAATAAAATCAAATAAAAAATGAAGGCGTTGTGGTTCTTGTATTTAAAAAATAAATAACACAAAGCTTCGTAATTAATTTAATATGATGATATCATTAGTCTATCAAAAGAGTGCACCAGCCACGTTTTATTTATTTATTTAAACAATGTAGTTAAAATTTTGATTTTATTTTTTCCAAAGGGCATACAAAGCATAATGATATATTGATTATTTTTATATTTTCTGTAATATAAGATAATAAATTATTATTAAAAATATGAATTTGTTAGCATTTTATTAAAAAAATCAATTTTATTACTTAGTTTTTAAATCAAATATCTATTAAAGAATACAAAATTATGTATCAATGTTTTTTCTATGTCATACAATATATGTAGTTGCCGTTCTTTTAAATATTCCATATATATGACATTTCAGTAGCCTTCCTCTTTTCTAACTATTTGATTTGGGGATATATATATATATTACTTTTAATAATGATGATGAATTTGATGTGATATAAAAGATTTTAATGCAATAAATATACAAATTAGAATTTAGATGTTAAATATGCAAATAAATAAGAAGCTAAATCAGCTATAATATGATACATTTAAGGGGAAAAAAATAGAGTTATGACTCATTTTCTTATATAAATTTATAACATTACACCAAAACTATATTATATCATTCATATGATAATTTAATGAGTGAAATTACGGGGGCAGAGGTTTCTTTGTGCACTATAGGATGTAGTTTAGATGGAGGTAAGTACTGTTAGCTTTATAAAAATGTTTAATTAACACATAATTGCTTCTAAATGAGTGAAAATTATGATTTTTCTTGATCCGATTTTTCGCTTATTGTTATCGTTTTTTTAACAACACACTGCTTTGCACGAATTTGGATTTAAAATAACTTTTAAATATTTTGGGGTTATATTTCATAATGATTATCAATCCATTATGCATATGAAAAAATTATAATGAAATACATATAAAAGTCTAATTCAATTTGTACATTAGGAATGCGTCGGCATGAATCTCAAAAAAATTCAATGAACTAAGAGATAGAAAAGTACAGTTAAAGAGAGCACACTGATGAGAGACAAACGATCGACTTACTCTACTCGATGGAACCCTCTTTTACGAAGGCTGGAAGCCGATCGGGTTTAGGCTACCTGAACGAAGGACATAAGCCAATGAAACCGAGCAGAGACACGATCTGCCTGTCACCACAACTCGACTCAAAGGAAGAATTCAGTATAATCAGCCATCTCACTGATGCCTCTGAGATTCCTCATTAGGGTTCAAAGACCGGCTCTATTTGGCGCAGCTGCAGCTTTCCAACTTCTTAGTTGTAGCTGTGCTGCCCCAGGAAACTGCTGTGGGGAAGCAGCTGCGGGGAAGCTGACTGACTGTTTGGTGCAGCTGTGTGAAAATAACTGTGGGGCTGCTGTTTCTGGAAAAATGACCATGGTGCCCCTGTTTAGTAAAACTGTTTAAAAGAAAGCTGTAACAACAACATCTTTTGAAAAATTTATGTTAATGCATGGAAAATTTATTGGAATTTGTTGAATGGAAATGTTTGTGGTTTTGTCTATAGTGGAGAGAAACTTTCTACATGCTGGAAATATTTTAAAAAATTTAAGCTATTTGATCCTGTGAATACTATACATTGTCAATATGAAGGCAGCACTAGCAATAGTGCCAACAATGCAATTGGATCTTTAGAAATCAAGTTCAAATCAACAAGGATTTTAGATATACTAAAATGCATCATTCTTCATCCTTTTTGAGATCGCCATACTTATAATGAGAGTACAAGAAAACATAGAGAAAATGTATAGAACAGTTGGGAAAAAAATCCAGAACGTGTTATCCCAATAAAATTAGCCCTAGCAACCATAACTGTTTTGAAAACAATTGGTGAAATCCAAACAGAGCTGCAAGAGCAATTCCGTATAAAGTATTATGCAAAGTAATCTGGTATATTGGTAAGAAGAAGAGATAAAAGAAGGATGGAAAGAGAAAGGTGCAAATCACTTTGTCGTGTGAAGCCGGCGACGCCGAGAACGGGAGGCAGCCGAGGGAGAAGAGCGGGGAAGAAAATGGGGAAGAAGAACAAGTGCTGCTCTGCGAATCGGTCCTGGTCGGCGAGGCGAGATGGCGAGGAGGGCCGGAAGAAGAACGGGCAACGAGGGCGGGAAGAAGAACGGGCGCGGGATTCGGTCTGGGTCGAGGAGGAAGAATGTGTAGCGATGAGGGCGGAACGAGGGTTTTTTGAGAGGGCAATTGGATCTTTTCAGAGACGAAAGCTGTGCCTCGGGGTGATTCTCGCTTTAGCTTCGCTCTGCCGTGACGCTGTGAGTCAAACAACTTTTTTTCGTGATTGGGGATCGCGAAGCCGCAAAAAAACAGCCCCAAACGGACCCTAAATCAATCCATGAACATTTCGAAGGACTTTCTGTCAAGGAATGAGCTACTTATCATATTACGACAATTCTCCCTATGCTCGATAACTTTATCTTGTTCTGACAATATGAGCTCCTCTTCCAAAGATTAACAGTCCACAACTAGTTTATAATAGATCATCAGTAAAACCAACTAAATCAAGTCAAGTCCTGCCAACCTAAACATTATCAAATGCCGACCAACAACCCTAGTTCGACATTTTCAGATGAGCAATTCTTATCAAATTGAGACTCATCGATTTCAACCGACCGAGTCAGAGTAGTTGCGTCGTAGGCATATACATGTAAAATACCTAAAATATCCTATAATGTTCCAATTAAAACAAGGGCAAAAATGTGACTTCATATATTGTGCTCCCTCATTTATAAATAGGGGGATCGATTTATGAGAAAAGAGATAATCAATAATTCAAATTATTGTTCATTATTGTGCATTTTCCTCTATGTATGTATGTATGTATGTCTATCTCTCTCCCATGTCTTACGCTTTATTCATTGAGTGTAATTCACTAATAGATCATGATTTAACATCCTTAAAGGTGTGACAGGTTCAGATCATGTCATATGCAAGAAGATAAGTAACACATGAAGAAGAAATTTCCAACAGAGACACTGGTATTATGGAGTGCACCAGGAATTTCATGCAACAACAAATCCAGAAGTTTAAAGACTAGATGATGGATGTCCTCTGTGAGGCATTGGCTCGGGGAAGGGAGCAGAACTCTGAGAGGAAGGGTTGGCGCTCAACAGGCCAAAGGGTGCCCTTGCTTGTGGAATGGGAATGAGATTCATGATACTTTCATAGATGGATAAACAATGGTTTGGGCTTACCGAGCCGCCCCGCTAGCTAGAGAATGTGTTCTATCAATAGGTTTCTGAAGTTGAAATCCCATATATATTCAAAATCCCTACTCTTGAATCTTACAAGGATCAGACTAATCTGACCAACTGCATGACTTCCTTCAAGTCAATTGTGTGTTTATTGAGGATTTTATATGCACTGAAGTGCCGCCTCTTCTTCACCATGTTGAGGAGCCCTCATGTAGGTCAACAGATTGCCACCATGCGTGATCACCTTATTCACGAACTTCAAAAGAATATTTGTGATGCAGTTCGCGAGCGTTGATAATCCTCAAAAGAGTTCATATGCCCTTCCGCAGATAAGGCATCGATAGAACAAGAGCCACTGTTCTTTCATTACTCAGTTCCAAAAAGAGTTGTTGGAAGTGTAGGATCTAGAACTCACGACAGCACATGTTGCTTAGCCTAAGGGTTGAAGGAAGTTCTATTCTGGAATGCTTTGGACCTACTAGCCACTAAAGACCTTCGCCCCCGAGGACCTTGTGTTGAAGAATGTTGATCCAATTGTGTGGGGATAGACAATCAGAAAATTAAATCAAATATGGACAGACCCATTCATCATTGACAAGTGATTCATCCCCATAGTGTATAAATTAAAGAAATACATGGGAGAAAAAGTCATTCCGACATGAAGCAAAGACAAATTATATATATAATATATATATATATATATATATATATATATTCTTTGAAAAAGCTTTGCATCATCACTAGAAAAAAATAAAGGCACTTTTGTTCCAAACAACGTGTTTTTACACAAAGAAATATTAAAAATATGGTTTAACTAATTATATGTGTAATTCTAGGTTCAAATAACACTTAGGAAACTCGAGTTCACATGAATCAATGCCTAGCCTATGCTATGGGAACTTGACTTGAGCAGTAAAACTGACAACATGCAAGTTGTCTGATCGGTAGAAAGTGATAAAAATTGACAATGACACAAGATATCTTATTAGTAAAGCACACTTAAAAATAACTGACAGTGATGCATTTCTTCATTTGATCGACATTATTCAAACAAATCAACCCTCAACACCCAAACATCAATAAAAACCTATGTCTCATAACTTGGCCCGGGTCAAGTTCTAATGGTAGTTCCCTACCCCGTAACGATGAGATTCGTTGTGGGTGGCAAACAATCATCCAAATATCAAGTCTCGATGGTAATCCCCGCGAAGGTTGTGACAAGAACCACTAAAAATGTCTGACGAAAGATAAGGTCAGTCTAATGTGATAGCCCGACCGAGCATAGAGACATAAAAAGTATAAGACTTGAGCAGAGTGGTAATAAATCAAAAGTAACTGAAAATCATTCCCAAGAAACCATGCTATCAACCACCACAAACATTCATCACAAGTAAAAAAGAAAAAAAATGGTAAAGGTATAAGGCAAAGGTAAAACCGACTTAAAGCTTCTTTTGCTTTTGTAAATAAAGTATTAAAAATATTTACTTTGTAGAGCTTTCTATGATTTAAAATAAAAAAAAAGAAACAAAAATCTTTCTAATTATAGAAACATCCAAACCGATTCAAGTGTTGGATGATCCTCCATCATTTGTAGCACTCTTATTTTCCGAATCCCCCTCTTCCACTGCCAAAAGTGAGAATATATTGGTGAATCATCCAAATCCAACCACTTAGGATTAACTAGTTCTGCTTGTATGAACTACTCAATTGCTAATTTGGTCCCAAGACAGAGGTGCTTACTCCACAAGTTTCTTTTCGCTTTACGAAATTCCCAAAATAATGTAGATGTGGGGGCAATTAAGTTATCTACTATGCTCATTTTCTCAAAAGGCTCCTTTGAACATAACATTTATGGAGCTACCCTTATCGATTAGGATGTTGTCGATCTGATAATTCTCGATGATGTGACTACAATGACGTCGTTGAAAGGATTTCTACCAGCGGGCATATCAGTTTCCTAGAAAGTCATAAGAGGATGAATCAGTGTAGCACACTTAGCCAAGTGGCTGAGCAAACCTCTACTATCCTTAATCTCTTCAAGTTAGACCTTCATGAAGCCTTAGATCCATCCCCTTTGAAGATAATTCACACAACTGTTGTGATGTGGACTAAGCTTATTAAAGTGGTTCCCTTGTTATTAACTTTGCATATGCCTTACCCTATCATTAATTGCGATCTTTAGGGACTACAAACTCTTTCAACTTTCTCAATCTAATGAGCTCTTTGATCAATATGTGAAGATGTCGACACTCTTCAGTTTCATGACCATGATCCTAATGATATGCATAGTATTAATTAGGATCGTGGGGGTGAATTCTCTCTTTCATGGGAAAGGGCTTCTTGAAAAAGTCTTTATTTTGAATGGCATCCATAATCTCAGCCATCAAAACTCTCAAATGTTTGACTTCAACAGGAGGGAGATGAAATAACTCTTGACTCTTCTCCAGCCTTCTTCCAACTAATCCTCCTATCGGAATGGCTTCATGCTTGGCAGAAACATTTATCATGAGAAGTTTAGGACTTCTATTTAAAGCAATTTTTCGGGTTCTAATGATCATCGTAACGCCAACTTTAGAACTTCTCCCTATACTCTAACATTCAGAAAAAAAAACTAGAATAAGAGTGGTACTTCTCAACAGATATGTGATTATTCACGAGCTCTAGAGATTTGACCAAAGATTTTGGATTTTACAAGTTTAGTTTGTACCATAACTACCCTTCATAGAGGCCTTGAGCGAGAGCAACGTAAGGAACAACAGGATCCAAAGCCCGACTGTCCAACATCTCTCGTAGGAAGCAAGTAATGAAGCTTCTTAGGCTCTTCGTAGGTTCTCGATGGGTCATTAGGAGGGCTTGGGAGTTCTTTGATGACTTCTGTGCGCTGACAAACTGAGCCATGAACATACGCTTGAACTCTCTAAAGGAGGTAATGAATCCTGTTGAAAAAGTTATTGATCCAGCGTAAGGTTGATTCATTCAATGTCTTAAAGAACATACGACACTTTAAAACATCAGTTATTCTAACTACACAGACGACTGACTCGAATGAAGCTAGATAGTCGGTGGGGTCAATTTTTTCTTTATAAGATTCAAAAGATGGAACCTTAAACTTCATTGGTGTCTCAACTTCCACAATCTTCATT